TTTGGTTTTATTTTATAATAATGTTGTTAGTCGTAGGGGGGCTATAAGCACTGTTTTTACTAATCATATTGGTAATTTTTGTACTTTTTAATGGTTTTGTTTTTTTTTTACTTCAATTGCTTTATCTTATCAGTTTTTTGGTTGTTTAGTTTCTGTTATGCTTTTTTTAGCTGGTTTTATTAAGGGAGGTCAGTATCCTTTTGGAAATTGGTTGCCTAAGGCTATGGCGGCTCCTACGCCTTAAGTTGCTTAGTTCATAGGAAATCTTTGGTGACAGCAGATGTTATGTTAATAGATTTTTATTTTTGTTTGTTAAGTAGTTTTTCTTTGAGTTTGGTTTTCTTTGTTGGTTTTTTACTGTTTTTTTTCTGGTCTTTGTGCTTTACTGGAGCAAGATGCTAAGAAAATTGTTGCTTTGAGTACTATATCGCAGCTCAGAAACAGCGCATGAAAACATCGTGAATTTGCAATTATTTTTACCACCCTGGTACAAAGTTCTTGAACTCGACGTATTCCAGTATATTTAAAATGAAAAAAAAGTGTCTAAATTAATCATATTAATCAATGAGAATTCTTCAGATTTCGTTGTACTTGCCTGTTCTAAGCTAAAAATGTCCCGAAGTAGGATTTCATTCTCCAATACATCAGATACTTTTGCTTTTTGTCCCGTTTTCCGATTCTCCAGAACTTCGCTAAAATTTATGAAAAGCATGAATTTTTCCTTTATTATGTCTTTTTTAAAATATTGATGGTTTTAAAAGCAAAGCTCACCTTGTAATCGGGATAGAAACCTTCACATTGAAAAAATTTTGTGTTTCACGTCGAAATCTGGTAGCACCATCAACTGACATTGCAGTTGTTTCATCATTTCCAGAAAAACATTGTACGGATATATTGAAAGTTGAATGATCAGTTATGTTGCTACAAATTAAAAACTATAAGTAATTTCAGAAGGTTTCAAATTATATGTTATGTACCGATGATTGAAAAATTCTATTCCATATATTATGAAGAGTGCCATCAACTCTAAATTTCAAACAAAAGCTAGGAAAATATCCAATTCAATCAACCTATTAGAATAAAAACTCCATTTACTATTCAGCAATTCAATTCGTTGTGACAACTTTTCTGCAAATGTGATTTTGCCAGCAGCATTACATATCGATACAGTAGGATAATTGATGGATACTTCAACAACTCGCACTGCTGGATGTGCCCTGAAAAACAAAATTATAAAATCTGCTTTTAAAAGCATGCTTTATAACATAGTTTTTGAGTTTGAAAATTTCTACAAACTAACTTGGAACATTGAGGGTACCGGAATGTGTAAGCATTTGCAGGACGTGGTCTCCACTGTCCATCAGAAGAACAAGTATAGAATATAGGTGGTTCAATACTGAATTCGTAACCATGCTCACATTGAATAGAACATGCTTTGTAGCGTAATTGAGGACCCCAAGATTCACAAGCTTGCACGCCATGTACAGGATCTTGCAACGCAGGACAAAAATCACTCGATACATGAATCTATAATCACATGCAATTTTTTAAATTTAATAATTGTAAGGCATTTTTAGAATCAGTCTTATAAATTGACAAAAGCAATTGAAAACTGCATTTAAAAGTAAGCAATTGAAACGTCAAGTCTTGCTAAATTTTGTTGCAGTGAAATTTCAGCATGGCAAAACTTTGAATAAGATCAAATGAAACTGCAATACCTTAAAAATGCATTTAACCATTGAATGATTGTCCTTAGCAAGGTAAACGACAAGATATTCTCCCCATGTGAATACTTGCCCTGGTTTAAGGTTTCTCTCCACTTCAACATATCCATTTGCGGATGTAAATATTGGTTCTTGCCATGTAACATTTACCTGTCATAATTTAGCAAATAAAATAATTTTATGTAAAAGTGCCAGATATTCCTTACAAGAACATTCTTTTCAAAAACGATTCTCATGATCTTTCTGTTAAAGTGTAAACATTTCCAGCAAAAAAATTTTTCACCAATTGTCAAGTTAGACATTACCTCTTTTTGATGAGTCATCACAAAAATATCTGATGGGCAACCAAGAACTTCGATATTTTTGACTGATTTTAGGCCATAGCTTCGTCCACACGTACTTCGTACAACTTTTTCGACTTTTCCAGACAGTCGTGTATAACCAGCAAAACGTAAGATGAGGTCATTATAGATAATCTACAAGAAATGGCAAGTACAAATTCACATGTATAGTACCTCATACAGTTGTTAATATTAAATTTCTTTTGCAAAATGAATAGTAAAAATATGAATAATTAGAAATGTACTTGCTGCTGCTGGCAATGATGTACAATTGATGGTATTTCTGTTTCAAAGTCAATAACTCGTTTCCACATATTTATTCGTGTAACAGATCCAACAAACTTTGGTTCACTTGAAAACTCGTTCAATGGCTCACCTAATGATACCCATGCGCTACAAATTTAAGAAAATTGCGCTTGCATCTGAGGTAACAGTGCGATTGATATATTCTTTACAAATAGTTCAAAATGGTCTTTGCGTAGGTTGCAAATGCAACAATTTTTTTTACTTGTAACAACAAAAAGTATAGTTATTGTTAACGAAAAACAAACTTGATATCCAAAATTTTGCCGACACCATAGCCGACATTAGCGTATATGCGAACAGCATTCCATATTATTGAATAGGATCCATCAGCTGATTTCCAAGTTATAACGAGGTTATTCCAGTTTCCATCATTTAAACGCTGAGTTGAAGGAAAGTGTAGATTTAACGGTGTTTCATCTTGTAAAAGATTTAAATGAATGTTGTCTGCCGATATTCTCAATAATGCGTTTACTTTTGAAGGATAATTACTTTCTCTGAAAAAATCTATAGGAAATGGCAAGCACAAATTTACATGTATAGTACCACATAAAGCTGTTATATGATGTTTATTTTGCAAAATGAATAGCTTTCACTAAAAAAATGAAAAAATTGTTTCAATAATTATACTTGCAACAGTTAATACTAGCACATTCCAACCTGATTTGATTTTTAAATTACATTACTTAAATCACATTATGCTAAGAGCTAATGCAAAAGTTATGAATAATGTAGTTATTATTGCAAGATAAGAAAAGCAATATTAAAAGTTTTTTCATACTGCTCTAACAATTGAAATAGTTATTTACGAAGTACGCCAAAAATTGTTAGTAACAACTTTAAAAATTATTTTTGAACCATGCTCTACATTTCACATTTATGTTATTAACCTTATTCTTTGCTATTTCACTCGCGACTTAAAAAATGCAAGTAACTGCAAACTGAATAATGTAATGATTAATTATGAATAAATAGTAAAAGGGAAAAGATGATGTCATAAGAAATAACTATTTGCATCAATAATTTAAACATACGACGATACCTGCTGTTGTAAAGAGTAAGGACAATTCCACGCGTTAAAGGAACATCGAATTTAACCCAAAGTGAAATTGTGAAAGCAGAAGATGTCAATTTGAATGGTACTGACAAAGCTGCTGCTGCAGGCAATACTGGATCGTAGAAATGCAAATCATAATCCTCATCAATCACTTTGTCACAGTTTAACCCAGTCATATTGAATGGACACTGACAGAAGAAACCACTAACCTATAAGTGATCCACTATTTAATTAAGCAATTTAAATTGGTTTATAATTGAAAACATATATCATTTATCAGTGAGAAATTTCTCAAGTGTACCTGATCGATACAATTTGCTGCAAGCGGACATGGTGATGGTGAGCAGTCATTTATATTTGTTTCACAGTTCTGGCCAGTGAATCCTATTATGAGAAATAGTAAGAACTAATGCAAAAGTTATGAATAATTTGGTTATAAATGAGCGCTCAGCTCTTATTCAATCAATTTTAAAGGTCACAGTTAAGACGTATTAGATATTTTTAATGATTAGATGTAATTAAAAGCTAGTGAACGATAAAATAAAGCTAACTCTTTTATTCTCAGCTTTCTACTCAAGTTCAAAATCTTAGTTTTAAATTAATATTGGCCTATTGATTTGAAGCTGAATAATAACTCATCTGAAAGCAACACTTCCATACCTGGTTCACAAATGCATCTATAATTGCCTCCTTCAAGTAATTCACAAACGGCATCATTTTGACACACACCTTCCTGGCATGCATTTAGCTCATACTGACACCCAGTGCCGATAAAATCTGGAAAAAGTAATTTACTTCAACCGGAAATGAATTTCATCATGGAAATATCGCTCCAATAAAGTTAAAGATTCATAATATTTGACTCGATGATTTGATTCAAGGTATTAAAACTACTGAAATTCAAAATCTCGGTTATGTCAGCAAGAGAATTAAAGCAAGAGCTAGTAGCATGAAAAAATATTTTGAGTTATCTAATTGAAGCTGAAAAAATTCACTTAAAAAATTTTACCTTTGGGACAAGTGCATTCCAGATGTGAACCAAAATCACCACATACACCTCCATTGTGGCATGGTTCTCCTAGACAACGATTAGGAGCAATTTCACAATTTTTTCCGCTAACACCTTCCGGACACACACAGAAATAATCACCAACCAGATTCACGCAATGTGCATCATTGTGACATGGATTCAGAGCACACAAACCATCCTCCTCCTCACATCTCGTACCTTTCCAACCTCGTGGGCAATCACATCGAAACTGTGATCCAGTGTCCACGCAAGTGCCGTTATTTAGACATGGTTCGGATGCACACTGAAACTGTTTCAATGACTGAAAATGAAAATCACCTTTGCAATTCTTCTTCATAAGTGAAAATAATTATTATTAAATGAAGTATCACTAAATGAATTCATTAATTCTGTCACTGAACAATAGGAGCGATTACCTGATCTATATGGATTTCGCAAAGTTCCCCTGTATACCCATGACGACAGTTACATTTGTAGTCATTAATTAAATCTTCACAAAGTTCAGTACCTTCTTGGGAGCACTTATGCAATAAATCACATTCGTTTCTATTATGTTCACAATGGGTACCTTAAAATGGGATAATATTTCACTCCAATTATAAATGGCAAAATTTTTGAGCAAAATAACAGTCGATAATGGATAAATTTTCAACAGATTGCTCTCTAATTTTTTGCAAGATAAAAGCATTAAAAAATTTTTAAGAAGTTAGAACAACTTGCAGACTGTGATTAAAAGGCCATAATAAAATTATAAAAAGAAACTTGAACTGCAATTAATGATTGCTAACTGACCTTCAAACCCTAACAGGCATTCACAAATATATTGTGCTCCTTGATTTACACAAGTAGCATTATTCCGACACGGAGATGTCGCACAATGATCAGTCATATGCTGACAAAGATAGCCATGGAATCCTGGTGCACACTGGCAGATGAATCCATCAATCTGAATAAAATTGTGTGCAATAAAATTTTGAATGAAGTTTATTTACTTTAAATGAAAATGGATTTTTGGTAAGATTAAAAAAAGATTGCAATGCCAAAAATTGAACAAATTTGTAATTCCATTCATTTAACAAATATCAGAATACGAAAGCTGTTCGAGTTGGTACGTAACTTTTAATTAGATTACAATTGTGCTGTAATTGAAAGAAAACATAAACTTGAAAACTGAAGCACATTTCACCTGATCCTTGCAGGTAGCACCATTGAGGCATGGATGTGAAGCACACTGTTCAATTTTTACATCACATAATTCGTTGGTCCAACCTGGTTCACAGATGCATCGTTGCGTATGCAACATGTCAACGCATAAACCATTAGTGCATGGATTTTGCGCACACAAATTAATCTTTTCATGACATCGTTTCCCAGCAAATCCAGGAGGACATTCACATCGAAAATCATTAACAAGATCCGTGCAAGTTGCATTCATAGCACATGGATTATCAGCACAGTCGTCTGAATAAAATATGAAGTAAGCAAATAAGACCTAATAACTGCAAACCATTTAACGCAAAATTGATCAACGCATTTTTGATCAATTTTTCCAGAATTTCAGCAATTGAGTTCAGCTTGTATGGAATCTTCAGCATAGAAATTATCAATTTTGTCATTTAGTAGGATTGAGAAAGCTAAAATAAAATGATTGAAAACAAATTGTTACCAATATTAATGGAACAAGTTGGCCCAGTCCATCCAGGTAAACATTTGCATTTGAATCTACCTAACTGAAGCGGTACGCAATCTGCGCCGTGTTTACAAGGATTATCCATAAAGCATGGATCCACAATTTGTGAACAATCTGGGCCTGTAAAGCCTGTCCTGAAAAGCAAAACATGTGCACATTACAATCTCCAAAAAGATTTATTCTACAATATTGGAAAAATGAGAATTTTTTAGGATGAAATCACAACCTGCATATACATTTTGTTGTTCCCAAGCCAGGTAAGTCATGGCATACACCTCCATTTGGACAGCTCATACCAATACATTCACCTGGTCCAAACTGACATCTACTTCCAGTGTAATCTTAAATTGTCAACTTTATCTATACTGTAATCCATAATTTTTTATATGACGAATGCTTCAAATTATTTTCTTAAATAATTCTAAACTTTATGAAAATATGAAAAATAAATGAACAAACTTTGGGCACATATACAACGGAATGTGCCAGCGGTAGCTTCACAAATTCCCTCATTGAAGCACGGTTGAGTATCACACAGTGGCATTTGTTCGTCACAATATTTACCCGTGAATCTAAAGCTCAAGAAATTATTACCTAGTTATATCTACTATCAAGAAAATTTGCAGATTCCTCAAGAATATATTTTGGCACCTAATTATTGAATGGGAAGAAACGATTTTTGCTTTAAGAAAAAAGGAAATATCATTTTTGAAACTTGGAATATGCTTTCAAATGATAATTTATAGAAGAATCATGGATCTGTAGTAGTAATCTTCTCTCGAAATAAAATTAAAAATAATACTACAAGCCTTTTTAAAGCTCATTTTTACAATGATCATTGAAGACCAGTAGTAATTTCAGCCCTTTGACCCATTCCTCTCTTTTCAAAACTTTTTTCACTTTACAACTTACACTTCTTCCATGCATTATATTTTGCCTAATCAAAAGCTAACCCCGGTCGACATAGGCAAATAGCTTTGTGATTTTCTACTGCACATGTTCCTTTATTTTCACATTTTACTGATGAACAATCCACTTGCAAGCAATCAGTAGCTTCTGCAGTGCCAGTATCTCGTGTTACCGTATTATTTGGGCATTCTATACATCTGTAGCAAAAGAAATATAATGATGATTTTTTTTTTTATGTAACGAAATCCCAAATTTCACTGATAGCGCTATTTTCAAAACACGAAAATCAATATTCTTGAAGTAGTCAAGATACAAAATAACAATAGGAATATCAGCCAACAATGAAAATATAAAATTATTAATTTTTGAGAATGGTTTATGATTTCTGCCCTTTTGGAAAAGTTTTTGTTTCAAATTAAACCTCTGTTGCCCAACAACTGGTTGATACCAATTAATAGGACAAGGCGAACATGGTTCTAAGCCTGTCAATGAGAAATGACCGACTGGACATGGAAGTTTGCACTGCGATGGACCAGTAGAGCCTAACTTTGCTGTATATGAACCCTAAATGGTAATTAATTAAGCGTTTAAAAATGCTAAAGATGTAGCAAAAATTTGAATTCTACAATTTTATTTCTTAATTTCTTACTACCAAACAAGTTTAGTTTTAACTTTTACTGAATAAGTAATTGAATTTCTCTACTACGAAATATATGAATCTATTGGGTTTCCACTTTTTGAAGCTAAGATTTCTTTTACTTGTGGACATGGTTCACATTGTTTATATCCACCGAATATAGGAGGGCCAGCAAAAGTGTGTCGAGGGCACAGTTGGCAAGGAATCAAGCCAGTTTCACTGTACATACCGTTTCCACAGACAGCTGCAAAAACAATTTCACTTAAAATTTTTGTCAACTTCAGTACACTTAATTTTAGTATATGCAAATTTAATCACTCACGAAGACAGGCATTAAATGTCTGAGCTCCTGGAAACTGCGTGAAAGCTTGTTCTGGACATGATTTACAGGTTATTTGGGCCACTTCATCCTGATAACTTCCGGCGGGGCACAATTCACATGTATTGTTGATATGCACAGTCCCTTTTGGGCATTGAACTGAAAGATTTTATTTATTATGTAGATAATTTGCCTGCTTATTGAAATATGCAGAATTAGAGTAATTTGAACGAATTGAACAAAGCCGATTATTTTCTAAAAAAATGATGGCTATGGAAATCAACAAGCTTCTCTAAAAAACAAATCATACTACCTACCATCATTTTCGTCAATGAGTTAGAAAATTCCAAGCAAACATACGACATTCTGGAAGCATTTTCTCGGCACCTTCTCGTAAGATTTCACCATCAGTACAACCAAAGCCTTGAACGACTGTTGTTTTAGTTGCATTGATAGATGGACAACCAACTGACTGAGTTGCGATTGTTTCACCATTTACATAGAGAAGACTTCGAATAGATGTGGTCGCACCTAAAGATTAGTAATTTAAGATCGAGCTCATTTTAAATGAAAAATGATGTGAATACAAATTTTTCAAATATACATTTGAGAGCAGTGTGAATATTCATTTTATTTCAAAACCAGTGGTTCTTGGCAAAATTTTAAAATTACTGCAGAAATTTAATTTCGTAGTTTTTGAAAATTTAGAAAATTTGAGACTGTGCCTAGATTAAAATAATATAATCAGTGCGCAACCTAAACAGAATGCACTAACCTGGTATTTTTAAATCGAAAATTGTTTTTAATGTCAAGCCACACAATTCATAAAAGACATCTTGCAGCACTGTTGGAAGTATTTGAATAGTAAAATTGGCAGTAACAGCATTCATAGTACCGCTAAATTTGACATCAAGAAAACGGACGAATACTTCAACAGATGAAGAACACCGTTGAGATAAAGATGCATCCAAAGAATCAAAGAATGTAGCAACGTATTCCGAATAACCCTGAAGATTTTTCAGGATACACCAATTAAATTTGGTTAGTATACAAATTATGAGTAGATAAATATTTTATCATCAGGGTTTTAGAAAGTATTGAAAGAAAGAGATTAATCTGATTTTACTTTGAGACAGTCATTGCCAACTGGTGTGGGAACGGCGTAATCAACGCTAACAGTCAATTCATAACGAGCTGGTTCTTGAGCAATTGGTATGCAGGCTGGTACAACATTTGATGGTGACCACAAACCATTTGAGCAAATAAATTGTTGCGAAGCCGTTTCTTCATTTACAAACGTAAATTTTTTCGCGCACTTCACAGTACAAACAGTTAACATATTTTGCGTCTGGCACTGTTTTTCAACATTTGCATCAGTGACCAATGACCAAGGTGAACAAGGTTCAGCTAAAAAAACCATCAAAATTTTGATAAGTTTATCAAAAATAGTTTCTTGATTATTTCCAAAACATTTATCATTATCACTTTATTTCAAAACCTTCATTTTCATCCCTTCAATTTTACAAAAAGGAAGAAAATAGAAACTCAAAAATTTTTCGGCGTACAGTGATATGAAATCAGTAGCTATGGAAAAGCAGATATAAATAAAAAATTATTAAACTAAAATTTTTAAACCTTGGAGAGATACTTGAAATTTGCATTTATTTCTATTTGACGCAATATCAGTAGCTGTGACTTCAATTGTAACGTGTGATCCAAGAGTAAGTAAAGCTTCAGATGGCTCAAATGTTACATCTGAGATATTTGATGTGTCTTGTATTACCATTTGCACTGCACTTTCATTAAAGAAAACCATCTCTTCGAACTGCCCTTCTTTAGCAGGAATAATATATGAATCAGGGCACTTCATCACTGGTGGTTGTGTGTCTGAAATATCATTGAATATTTTTTTAAATTACAAGAACATAAATAATAATTTATATATGAACTGATTTATTTGCTTAATCTAAATTATTGCAACTTTTTGAAAAAGTAAAAGAAAATATCCAAGTAATATTACCTGGAATTCTTAACTGTACGATGCATTCTGCCGTATTACCAGCATCATCAAATGCAGTGTAAATCACATCCATATCATGAGAAATCATTTTCGGAGGTTCAAAGCCATCTGGCGTTATACGCACATATGCTGCGGAACCAGAATTATCAGCAGCAATAGGTACTTCGTAGGTCGCAGGTAAGAGTTGCCCATTATCATCAGTCAAGATATAGACTGGATTAGTTGGACAATTTTGAAAGGTTGGTGGTTCACTATCAATACATTGTGGTACTGATGCATTCCAACCGACCTGCACTGATTAACAGTTGTCCATAATAATTTGATAAAATAGATTCGAAATTTCACAGAACTTGTAAAAAAACTGTAAATATCTTATTAATTTCGTTATCTTCTTTTTATAAGAAATAGTAGTCGAATACAAATGAAACGCTGTTAACCTGTAAATGAGACGGTATTTCATGTGCTATAGAAAGAGGTGCTAAACATCCTTGCATATCAAAGCGGATGCATGGATTTTGCTCATATTCTGTCACACCCAATAAAATATACCGAGCACGAAGTGGTGGATTAAGTTCAAACTGGTGCATGGCATTATGGTTTCCAGATGGTGTTTCGAATTCCTATAAAAGACAAGATTTTGGCATTTGTTCTGTGATGTTCTATATGCAAAACATGTTGGCATTTCCTTTATTGTAGCCAATTATTAATAGCTTCGTTTTGAGATTCACAAATGCACTTACAATTGGATAAGTGTCATAATTTTGACTGTACTGAACTTTGTGAAAAAGTTGCATTTTAGTAACATGTCCGCGCAAATGTCCACTGCCAGCAACACCAGCCATTCTTAATGTTGTCAGTGTGTATGTACGCTGTAAATCCACGGAAAGAAAGATAAATGCATCTTTAGAACCACACCAACCAGTTGAAGATAATCGAGCCTGATGATAAAGTTTTTTCCTTAAACTGCATAATTAAGTAAAGAGAAAAATAAAATTCAGAAAGCAAGCAGTAACAGCATCAGCTTGAAATTTTGACACTTGAAATTCACATTGCTTTTTTCACACAAAATCAACATTGATACCTTGTGTGGTTCATAACCCCAAGTAGTGGAATCTGAATTGTCAGCAAAAGCACCGTCTGGAATGAAACCTGATGAAATTCCAACATCTTCAGCTAAAACGCAGGATGCTCCGAGCGTACAATTAATTCTGTCAGATGGGAATGGTTTATAGCCAGCTCTATTACAAGTAAACTTCGCCTGTGCTCCTTCTTCTACAGAATCTAATTGTACTTTACCATCATCCGGGAATCCGGGATCTACACAAACTGGTCCTGAACACTAATAATATCATTATTCTGCTAAAAATAAGCAATTTCAGTGATTACTTTATATTTTTTCTTAAAAAAAATGGTTTAAGATGGCTTCACCTTCACATCGTAAATCACCAAGATCCCAGTTACCATCAACATTACATCGAATAGTTCGGTCATCATAGCTTGACTTGCCGACTAAACTGTATGGTGGTCTACAGCTAAATGTAAACGCTGACCCTACCTACAAAAATAAAGACATTCAAATGACAATAGCTGTTGTTTGAGCAAAAATCATTGTGAATAAAGCATCAGTTGAATAGCTGTAATGTATTTTAGCAATTTTATGATTAATGATGATCAAAAGCAAGCGCAAAATAAATTTGAGAGAGCAGTAATTGATATCACACCTTATATGAATAATCATCTCCTTCGTATACTGCACCTGCAAGTGATGGTGGTGAACCACAATCTACCAAAGGACAATCGATTTCTGGTCCTGATAACCAATAATCACGACCATCTTCTTGAGGGTCATAAATGCATTGTCGGAAAGATGAAAGTAATGAGCTACTTGCTGAAATATTCGTTAAACTATAGTTATTGATTGGTGAAATTATAAAAAAAGAAACAGAAACTAACTGAAGTCGATAGTTGAGATAATCGTTTTCGATTACATATAGAAAGAGATTATGCCTAAGATCAAAACTTTTATTCATAAAATTGATGCAGTTAGTATTAAAAAATCTTTGTATTATCAAGAACAGCAGCAGTTTTTATTGTTCCCGCCAATTTATATTTAGATAAAATGTCAAAAAAATTGCATTAGTTAATGGATGTTTTAAGCACTCACCTGGTCTGTTTTGTTGGCTACACACGATAGATACATTGCGTCCATAAGCAATTGTACTGTTTTCTGGAGAAACAAATAAACCAATTGCAGAATTGTTTCGCACACCTTGGCATGTAGCAGCTAAAAAAGCAATGCATTTTTATACGTAATCTGCTGTTTTACTTGATAATTATTTCTATAATACTGGTAATAACTATATAATTAATGTCGTTTGTGTCGTTGTGTGTGAAAAATTTTTAAGAACAGCGAAATTTCTACATGGCTGACTTTTTCACACATTAAAAAAATATTTTTCTCACTTCCCGTCATTTTAGCACATTCTGACAAAAGCTCAAGAGAAAAAGAATCGTGTTATGAACTATTTTTAATAAAGCTGATATTGCTGCTCATTCACCTCTCTGATGAAAATGCTGAATTACTATTCTAGCTTCACTAAAAATTGGTTTAAAAAGTCAACGAGAATATTTCTGCATTAATTTAAATGCTTAAAAAAATCTGCTGATATGACTTACGGAGACAAAGTGGTGCAGTACCATTCCAACTGCCATCTGGCATACATTTTAAATGACTTGCTCCCATCATCTTCAAATTTTTAAATGAAATCAAATTAGTTTAAAAATATAATTGCTGCAGGACAGCATATATCATGAGTAGAATAAGTCAATAAAACTAACTTGATATGAGAAATTGCATTGGAATTGTACAACCATTGGAAAGTGGAACGTTTTAGCAGTGGACAGTAACAATCCATTAATTGGTGATGATAAATTGGCGCAAATTCGTGGAACACAAGTCTGATTGTAACGAATAACATCCAAAGCATTTAAGCCTGTTTCACCTTCCTAAATTCAAAAATATTTCAAGGCATTATATGAGCACATTTTTGCGGGAAATTGGTGCTAATGAATTGTGAATTTAAACTCATAAACCTTTAAGAAATCCAAATAATTTTAAGCAATGCAATGGAAAAAAATCAATCGTGAATTAAATTAACCTTTATATGAACACCACCTTGTCCATCTTGAACAAGTAAATCAAAACCAGTTTCACATGCACAGTGATATGATCCTTGTGAGTTGATACAAATTTGCTCGCAGTTACCATTGTTCTGTTCACATTCATTGACATCTACAGTGAATCAAAATGATAATAAACTTGTGCAAAATTTTCAGTGAGTAAATTTTGATTTTATTGAAAATTTACCAAGACAGTTAGTTTTATGACAACCAAGGATATCCAATTTCATGCACGGAGCAGTTGAAAATTCTTCTATTGTAAGCTCTACTATGCGAGCTTCAATAGCCTTTGGGAGTACGAGTAGCTCACCACCAACAATAGCTACATTGCGAGTAGTTAATTTCTAAAATACTAATAAACTGCTCAATCTCGTGAATTGATTATTTTCTGACTTTAATCGGAAATAATATCTAGATATTATTTTGATGCTATTCTTTAATTCTTGCTGACCAAGGAGAAAAATACTTGTATCCTGTAAAAAGTTTTTGCAAAGTCTGCTTTGATTCATAAACTGTGAATATATCATTTAATTTAGATTTTTTATTTCGAAGTAAAAGCTTACAGTGAAATTCGAGACAGTATAAGGTGTTAATCGTACACCAGTACGATTTGAATATTTCACTCCGATAATAGTTGGATACGCACCATTTGAGGTTTTTTCTACACGTAATCGTTCAATGACTTTCGGTACTGCGAAAACAAATGTAATTTTTCGACTCTGATCTTCAGAGTTTGCACACCAACCTGAAAGTGCTCTAAATTATGAGTAACTAAGCAATTTACTTTTTTTAACTTTACTACGATTTCTGTACCAGAAAAACCCATTCAAATGCGACAATTTGATTAATTCTCTTAAATGAACTTGCAACAAATGATCTGGAATTAGAAGACAAAATGTTCAGTCTTATTATATCTTTATTAACATGTCTGAATCTATATTGGGAATTTCAATGATAATTATTAATCATGCATACTTTGGCTACTTTCTGAACAATGCAAAAAACCTGAATCTTGAAATTTCATGAGAAAATAATAAATATCATTGTTATCTACTCTAAAAGAATTGACCTCAAATATTGTTTTTAAGTACTCATTTTCGATATTTTGTGTGATAAAAACTGTTAAAGTTCATTTTATACTTGGGATATCTACCTGTAGTTGCGTAATCTTGGCTTCTAAACCCATCTATTTCACTACTTCCTTCAGCCGTAAGCGTATTCAATACTGAAGCTGTACTACATGCTGAAAAAGAATGAATTCAAATGACGAATTGCGACCATTTCTCAACTGTGTTGAGTTAACTATATGTAAAGAATCAAAATTTTCTCATACAGTCAAGAAAATAAACATGAGTGATGCTACTAATATAATTAAGCTAATTTTAACTCACAAAGTTGTGGTTGAAATCCTGAAAGACATTGGCAGTGATAACCACCAGGCATATTAATACATTTCGTGCTTTGAGCACTGCAGACGGCAGATCCTTCAGCACATTCATCAATATCCCGGCATTCAGGAACATCGCTTAGTGTCTGGTTTGCAAGACATTTCAAAGAATCGGCTCCAACAGTTCGGAATCCTGGTTGACACTCAATTCGAGCCAAATCACCGAATTCAAAGCGCCCTCCCGTTACCACAGCACCATTTGCAATGGGTGGCACATGGATACAACTCAGTTCTGAATTTGAACTCACAAAGTTGATAATTTTAATTTCATTAGCTTTCATTAAAATTTCAAGAATCAAACAAATATACTCAAGTCACTTACCAAATGAAATTTTCTAAAACTTGACTAATCTAACTTTCATGTCAAATACGAAAATTTGTTAATAGATGATTAGCCAGAAATAATATAAGCCCTCATTTTTTCATAATTTAATATATTAAAATTTTTAGGCATAATTAAATATCATTTAAAGAAATTCAAAAATATTAGGTAGAACCACTAATCCATATGTAGAATGATCTTTTGTTAGTGATATGATTAGTAGAATAAATATACAAAATTAAGAACAAATAATTTGAAAAATTTTATCAAAATTATGAGTGTAATTAATAAATTTTCCATTTTTGCTAATTTTTGTTCCTTATTTTCGAAGGAAATTTTAATGTTCTGTGCATTTAATGATTTTAAAATTCAAATTTTCAGCTTCTTTAAAATTATTTATATCCAAATTTTTGACGTTTATAGCGAACTTTTGCAATATGGTTGAGCAAAAGACCATTCCCCGTTTGAAAGGCACAGGAGTGTTGCAGCACCAATTCTTCGAAATCCAGGAACACATTCAAACCGAAATACAGTACCATAACCTGTTCCATCCCCGAATTTCAGAATTCTTTCACCATTTAAGAAAGGCGCAAGAGCAGGACAAGTCATGGCTAAAATTTTAGAAATTAAATGAAGTTTTTGTACTTGTGCAATATTTTCAGTGTATCTATCTATAAATTATTTAAATTAAACTTTTAAACTTTTGAGTGAACTCTAAGAAATCTAAATTTGACTTAAGAAATAAATTTTGGACTACTGTATGTAATGATTTTTTTGTTAGATAAAAAAATTAAAATAATAATAAAATGAAGCTGCATAATCATTTAACGAACTATTAAATTCTAAAATAGTGATAAAATATCATTTATACCTTTGCAAGAAGGGGTAAGAGTCCAGCGTCCTTCATCAGTGCAATAAATTTCTTCTGATTCTTTACCACTAGCAAAATCAAAACCATCATAACATGAATATTTCGCTGACCCACCATACGTAACATTTGTTGCGGACGATGCAAATCCGTTGGCGATTTGTGGAACTGCGGAACAGTAAACGGCTATAATTGTAATATGTTGTTTAAATCTATGAACAAGCAAAGGAAGCGTAAACAATTTTTAGAGCCTCTTTACAGGTATTTTGATAATCGAAGACAAAAAAGGAATGAAGGAATAAAAAACTTTTACGTTGACATTCAGGAATATGGTCTTCAGTCCATTTTCCACCTAGTTGACAAGTAATATCAAACATTTGTCCACGTCCAGTGCGAAATTCATAGCCCCGTGGACAAGATGCCGTTACTTTTGTTCCAAATGCCGATGTTTTCGTTGAGAGTGATACGAATTTGGGTGTTTGAAGAGGTGGGCAGTCTATCAAAAAATCATCTTTATTACTTAAATTTGCAATAAATTTATAAAGATTAATAAACCAAGAAATAATTACTTGTGGAGAAAGTAATGTTCCATCCAAGACCATTTCTGATTGAATTAGTTACGAAGACAATTTGCACAACACCAGTTTGAGCAAAGATACTTTTTGGTGGACGAGAAGTAGCTGAAAAACCGTCTCCTGAATGTAATGCTCTTCCGCCTTCTGTTTCTTCGTAGATCTGCAATACTTTCGCAGATTTTAATGCTCAATGAAGTATGCAAATTTCCAACTTTTCATTACATATTGATTATATATCAATAAACTGAACAAACCAATAGTCGATCATCTTCAGCAACATCAAAAGTATTGATAGCAAAAGCAGTTGGCTGCTCTGATTTTTCGCCCGGTAATTCTACAGTATAAATACATCTCTGTGAATTCGGATACGGAATTTGAGTATAACCAGGGGATGTCAGAATTCCTTTATCCAACCTAACTCGGTTGGAACATCCTGAAGTGGCCAGCAATTCAAATGTTTCAAACTATTGTCGACAAAATCATACAATAAATAATAAATATTTGGCAATATATTTATTACAAACCACGCTTGTAAGTAATGCTGAAACCTCGACCGCTTCGAGCAAAGTTTGAATAAAAGTAGATATAAAGTTGAGATTGACTTGAAATGATAAGTTGAGGTTGTGCAAACGTTCCAGTCAAACGAGCCAGTATTGGTGCTAAGGATGTGTTGCCATCGTAAATGAGCAGAAAATCATTTTCAGCTTCTAGATCAAATTCTTCAACCTACATGACATTCATTTTCTATCATAAATTTTATTACTGAGCAAAATACAACGATCTCACATCGATTTTAGATTCTGGAAAATATGAGTTCCAATTTTTTTTCACTTTTTTCATCTTTTTATAACTTTTTCCGCAATAGCTCTATATCTTTGCATTGTTTGATATATTTCCTCAATTACTGATCTGTTTCTGTGATCTCAGATAAAGACTAATATGATCAGTACTTGTAGTAGTTACTGCTCTTGTCAAAATTTACTTCTGTTTATATGATGGTTATATGATGAATAGTCATGACTGCTATTAATGGAGATGTTTGTTCCCACTATGTTACTTTGAATCATGTTTACACAAGACTGGAAAGCATACCAAATTAAATAATTTACCAATACCTGTACATTTTAGTGAAAATTTCATTACCAAAAAAATGCTAAATTTGGACAAACATTGAGAGAAATAAGTTGTCCTGGAGAAGCATCAATTTTCCAAACACATTCCACACCATTTGGATAATCTTTTGGATAGTCTGGACTACTGAATGTCTGTCCATAGGGTTGAGCTCTTAATATTCCTCCACATAATATACTTACTGCAAAAAAAATAACATCCAATAATGAAAGTATTGGTAGTGTGTTGAGTGAAATAAGTAAAAGAAAATTAAAAAGTGATTTACTAGCTCTCCAACTTGCTTCGAAACCACGTGCTTGAATTTGTGCATCACTGCTAAATCTTACAACCATAACATTGGTACTTGAAATCAACGTCTCTGACTTTTTGGAACCTGACAAAATGGCCATAACAACTGATGAGTTCTCAGCTGGTCCACCGTCCAAAATTGTAACAAAATCTTCATATTCCTCAGTTTCAAATGCATCTAGTGTTATCTGCAGATATAAATAAACAAATATAATTTTTTCGAAAATGAATTGCTCATTTTTCTGCAAAATATTCATGCTAGTGATAGGTATAGTTTAGAAATTTTTACAATACTCAACATTCAAATCACAAGACTTAACATAAGGAAGTTTTAAATAATGAGAAAAATTAAAACAACGCTTTTTGTTGGCAAAGAAATTAGAGTTAGAAAGGAACTTCAAAGCAGACAAGATGAGCACAAATGCTTCTTTCATGTGTATTCGAGAATAGATCTTATCTTACAGTAAGATATCCAATAGTTCCAAACAATGCTATCTTTGTGCATTTTTTCGATATCAGAAGTGATGCAAAAAAAGCAAAGAAAGATGACAGGAGTACAAAATAATTGTTTATCTTCATTATTTTTACAAGAAAGATACTACCATAGTTTTCTTCAAACTGAAAAATAATAAATTCTTGGAGAATTAACTAACTATACACAAAATTATGCTTAGACTGAAATCAAAGAACGAAAATTGCTTATTATACCAATTGCCGAAAGAATGAAGTTCACGTATTTATGGTAACCTACATGGATCCTGGAATTGATTGGTCCTTCTATGACCCAACGACAATTTGCATTAGCATTGTAAGGTGACGGATAATTTGGTGTTTGGATTTTACCTGATTCACCCTTCTCATATTTGAGGCATGCTATCACTTTTGGCGAAGCTATAACAAATCGCATTGTTATCACTCACTATCAGATCTAATCAGCCAACATCTTTTGACTTTTAGTGAAATTAAATGACAGCAATGATTTTTTCTTCAAGTAAAATAGTTAATGAGATGAAGTCAGTGAATAATGTTGATTAACAGTGTCAAGTTAGTCAAAAAAAAGAAAAATATCAGGAAATGTGCTACTATAAGTTTTGCAAATCTAATATTGTGATTGTTTAATTTGCCAATTTCCGCCCCAAGTCAAGCAGTTTATAGACGGCAAAATTACCTGGACAGTTGAATTCATCACTGTAATCACCACAATCATTTACACCATCACAATGCGCAGAATGTGATATACATTTACCATTTTGACAGAAAAACGAACCTGAAAAATTTTTGCGCTGTTTTCCATGGCATTCATTCAACACATTTTTGTTTTAAAAAAATAAATGATGGTCGAGTGATAATTTTATAATGTAAATGAACTTTGACCCGCTCAAAAAGCATTATTTAAAATTATTAATTACATTTCTTCATTTAAAATGATCAACTTAGAAGTGAATTTGATGACAGTGATTACCAAAATTGAGCTAAAATATATTTGCCGTTCTACATTTGTTTCTATAGGACGACAAAATTTTTTTCTAAAATACAAGTCAGGATTAAATGTGTGTTACTAAAATAGGAAGTGAATTAATTATTGATGGTTTTAATAAATTATGGTATCCACTGGAAAAAACTGTATTTTCAATGTGCAAATTTACCTTAAAATCATTGGAATGAATAAACTTTATTAAAATGAAAACGATTAAGCACAACATTTTGTACAACGTCATTGCTTTTCACTAAATTTTGCAGATTTTGGAATGTACTTAAAGAAATTTTATGAAAAAAGCAATTTTTTTTTCAAGTAAAATTTATACAGACCCTGTTGATGGACAAAAACATTTTTGCACTTCATTAATTTCCCACTAAATGGATTTTTGTATGTTTGCGTCATTGCATGAATGAAATAGATATGTTCACTAATTGACGATTTGAAAGAGTAATGAAGCTGTGAAAGAGTAGTAATCAGTTTGAAGAAAATGACAAAGTACCAAATTAATCACTGCATTCTTTATTGTTTTAATTAAAAGGATCCGTGCCAAGGTCAACTGAGTACCGCTGTTACATCCTTCTATTCTACACCTTCTACCACTCTTTTTTTCTTTAACATTTTTCCATGAACCGCTTCGCTTCTTGTCTACGATATATTTAATTGTCTAACTGCATATTTTGCCTATTTCTCTTAACTTTACTTACCTTTCATACAGGCAGGCAAAGCACATACAAAAGGTAAAAGTGTATTGCACATTCCTAAACTCCACCGTAATCCATCGGTCGCTGTGATAGACACCTAGAAAATTTATGTTCAGTATTTTATAATCCTTCGTAAATTTTATCATAAACTTGTGTTTTCATGATTATTTACACACTCGATCGTTTATTTGATCACTCAGTAAATCAGTCCCTAGACTTAATTTGATTTGAAAATAAAATTATTTGCAGTTGATCTAAATTACTCGTTTACTTCTCTTCACTGATTCTGTTTCTTTGTATTACTCCATAACTAACTCAAATTAACTTTAAAATTACAACTGAAACAGCTACAAAAATACTTTCTTTATCTACAAAAACTTTCAATATTTTCGATGGTAACGAGAGCTAAATTTAAAAATTTTTTTGACATTTGCTAGCGTTTGCAATTTTTATTTTCTCTCCCTCTTTTTTTGCTTTTTTTTGATTTATTGATCTTCACAAAAGTTTTAAATAAAAGAAAATTAACTTTTAAAATTAAAACAAGAATACTGAACGATGTTGATGCTATCAGACACATAAAAAAGCTACAAACTTCGTGATAAATTACGAAATCAGAAATGTCAGAATGCGTTTACTCATTCATTGCTATTAGATGAAATTATCTTTAAATGTGTGGTCAGATATATGAAATACCTTTGCGCAGGTACCATCTCGATAATCAGGTTGACCATCGTTCCAGAATCCTACATAGCGAGAGACTATACTACCATCGGACCATAAAAAATATGCATCTTCATCTTCAGTTTGCTGCGCGACCACACCTATAATAATTAATTATATTCAAATTTTAAATGAAATTAGTGTTGACACTTTTCTATGAGATAATGCCCAAGAAATGAAGTCTTACCGATCCAGAATTCGGTGCGATTTGTTGATAGAATTTTCTGTTGACGATTTACTAGACGATATACAAAGCTGTTTTCTACAAATGATTCAATTCGAGCAAGTTGACTTCCATATCTGCAACATTAACTGGACTGTCAACATGTCATATTTTTTATGTTGTGATTACTGAAACTGAAAACGGAAAAAATATAATACTACGCTGTGTATAAATTAATGTATTGAATTGAATTTGTTAATAAAAAGGAAAATGATGTAGGCTGCAAATATTTTAGAAAAACAAAAATTTTGCTCAGCAAAAAAAAATATATAAAAAGTAAAATTCATAATTATAAAAATTGGCGGGCTTTTTTAGTCTATTATATTATTTAAAAATTAATGTCATAAAACCAAGAGTTTTTTTCTCATTTATTTATTAATGAATTAATTTTTAAACTTGAATCCGTGGCATTTATGAAACATTAAATATTAATACACAGTAGTCGAAAAAAATCTTTAATTATGTTCAAAAAGTATGCACTAGAATTAGTTTGAATAAAAATAAAGCGCTAAATGATTTTTTTTCTTATAATATTCCAAGTAATATCAATGAAAAAGCAATGATATGTGCCAAAGATTATTTGTACCTGGAGCATAAAAGTAATGCTTGGGGCCATGAACGTTCAGTGGTGTATACCCGAAAACACTTTGACCCGTACTTTTCCCATCCTTGAGAGCATTCTAAATTAATATCAGATACGGTATATTTTGAATCACTTCCATTTCTTATTCCATTTTCCTGCAAAGGTTGCCTATGAAAGTTGAAAATTAATAAAGATTTTCTTGTAGCTTTCATTAGTAATTGTTTGAAAACTATGCACTAGAATAATACTAAGAAATCAGATAATAAGAACAATTTAAAAAATGAGAATTCCAGTAATTTTGCATGAAATTTATCACCTGTTCTGTTGTAGTAAGAATTCCAGCACCTATAAGCGGAGATACAGAAGCAGCTCCACCAATTGTATTACCTGTGAAAAGTGATGCAGTTGTGAAGGATTTGTGTACTATCGATAAAAGTGATAAGACTAAATAAAATGATGCATGTGGTAATAGCAGCTGTTGTTGTGAAACAGATAGTTGAAATGGATTAAGAATGGTCATGATAGGCTGATAGTAAAAACAAGATTAAAAGGTAGTTAATTATACATCCACAACCTCTTGAACAGTAAATAATGGACTCGTCAAGAAAATCAGATCGCCTACTAGGCGTCTTCTAACAGTTATTTCTTCAAGCTACTTTGATGATATTGCAATCAGGGCAAAGGCAGCAGCAACAACGGCGATGATAACGATAATGGAAACAGCGACAACTACAACTACAACTACAGCAATGAAAAATGATAATGGTGGTGATGATATTGATGATGTTGAGAAAGTAACCGTCCAGTTGACCTCATTAATTTGACCTTCTCCTCGCTTCATTTCAACCTTCAAACTAATAGAAGAGAATGTGTTGCCTTGTCTTCTCATGAAAACTTTCAAAGCAAAAGCAGAAAGTAACATCATTTACCACTGAATGAATTTTCTTTCTGAACTAATTAACCTATTCATCATCTCCATCCAAATCAGTTCTTTTGATATTAGAAAACAATCAAGATTCTTGTCCATTTCACTTGAATTTGGCACTAAAATCGCTCATTCTCACTCTTATTCATATGGTTTTGTTGGGCACGATTAAGCATGAAAATATGCTAACTTTTCAAAATGCTTTCTTAGCAGGTAAACGCAATTAAATGATTTATTTCATTACTGTTACGAGCTTATTCATGCATATAACTTTATTTTTCTCTTTCTTTTATATTCTAAGTGCTCAAATATGACTGTTGTGACTGCAAATAATAGAATTGGCATATTTTTAGATAATGATTTTTTTGCTATATTAATTAAAGCTTTGACTACACTATGATGATCAAAATAAAGCCGAAAAAACTATTACAAGCAAAATTTTTCATACCATATTGACTTTTTTTAACGATATTTTTAACTTTTTTCATCGTTTTTTTATCTTTCTTTTAAAATATATCTTGATTCTTTTTCTCAAATAAAGTGAGGTTTATTTCTGCTTCATTGAAAAAAAAATTTTGGCTCGTAATCAATACTTTCAGTCAAGTAATGGAAGATTTGATTATTCTATTTTTGTTAAGAGAAGCATAACTTTTCTTTCTTTTCATGCATTATATTCGAATTTGATTTTCACTGTGGATTAAAATGGCAATCATGTAAGAGGACATATAAACACAATGACACGGATATGGTCAAAATTCATTCTGGATGCACCTGCCATTGTCAGATGACAATGGCAGGTGCATCAGATATCTTTAACTGAATGCATCGAAAAACTCCAAGTAGAATTAATGTCACTGAAAACAAAATATTTCTGAAACTGACATAAAATTTTCTATCAAGTGAGTTTACGAGTCGCTTGTGTTTAAAATTAATGGACAATAATTTCAAGAAATATTTTGCATTGTTGTCAAATGATAATTTAATAAATAAGCAAAACAAAACATTAGAAGTAAAAATAGTTTAGTGGACAGAAACAAATATCACCAAATTTAATATTATTTTGCCAATGCCAACTTTTTAGTACTTTTTACATATTGTTTTTGCAAATCTTTTCAATGATTCATCGATTAATTGATACAGAATAAATTAATCATTAATTGATACAGAATTACACAACCCATTTACGAGTAACCTGCAAAACTTCTATCACTGAAACTATCGTTTTAAGATGGAATAGAAACTTCATTTTCAAGAAGTTTTGAAGTTTGACTACTAAAAAGTTTTTACTGCAACATAATGTTGTTTAATTATTATACATTCAAAATTAAACGACCAAAAAAGCAAAAATTTTTATGGATTTTGAATAAGATTTTTATTGATGTGAGTAATATCTACGCAATAACGGTAAAACAAATTTGAATCTCACAAATTGCTTGACATTATTAAAAGTTATCATGAAAAGTCACCTTTTTCGAATATAGTTACTGCTTCTTCTCACTTTCGTTATCGATAAATTTGGCTTCAAGTAATACAGTAAACTTTCGAAAAAAAATTTGATTTTTTTCGCAGTGGAATAAAATGATACTTATATTACTTTATAATTTTAAATTCATCTTTCGACGCTTTAGTTACGCTACTTCAATCTGCAGAATCTTTTTAACACCATCATGCATGCTATCGAGTTATTCAGTTTTCGAATTTGTATGAAATGACCAAATTTCCAAAATTATAGACATAAAGAAAGATGAGAATTCATAGTTTACATAACTAAAGTAATGCATGCAACTACATGTTAATATAGTCAGTCCTTTAAATTTCTAATTCAAAAACTTATTTGAAAATGAACGTTCGAATGTTTTTTCTTGATTTGAAACTGTTTGCAGCCAAATTGTGAGAATAATCTAATGTTTGTGTGTTTGCTTTCTCTATGTCAGCACATGCATCGATTGTTGTGTATAAATTAGAAAATTAATGGTGTAAGTATACAAAATTAATTGTTCTCACTACTGATATGTGTATAAATATTAATGATGTGTATATATAGTCAAATTCGCCGACTGCTGCGTATGAATTATAAAATCAATGATTTAAATATATAACAGTGTGTTGCACTGCTAGATATAAGTAAACACTTGCAGTAGAAGGCTTTTTTTTCAAAAAAATGTGAGTGAGCAAGCGCAATGTTGAAATGATTGTCAAGTCCAAGTTTATCGATCCAGCTGGGATAAAAATTAAATTCTTGCTTGCATGCACACTCGAATAAGAAGTGACTGCTAGGCAGACTAGCACACTCTCTCCCATTCTTGATTTTAAGTGTTTATTCATTTCTTTATTTACTTATTTATCGGAGAAAGAACGATGCGAGCATAACTGCGCCAAAGTTTGTCTTTTGATATGCTTGCTGGATGGCTGCTTTACAGCTTAACGAGCTCATACTTGGACAGTTGCGTCAGCTTAACTTGTTACAAATGTACCGCAAGTAGCCAAAATTCGTCATGTTTTATGGAACCAGAGCGTCAATCTACCGATCTATGCAGTGTGTCGTTCTGTCAGGTTTTAATTTTCCTTACATCTACTGCATTAATAGATAAATGTAGTAAAGCTGACTAAATAAATGAGCAAATGCAAAAATAAATACTCTTATTGCCAATATATGGTAACTCTTACGACATTATTACTCATTTCTTTTTCCAATTAGCTACACAAAGAACAAAGCATTGCCGTATTTCCACGACAGTTCTTTGTGTATTTGCTAATAACAAAGTTTTCTTCACAACCTCGATAACCACCACCTACTGCTGCCTTATTATGTTGCTCTTTGTATCCCTACATACATCTGCGCCATAACTCTCTACGATCATAATAAAAAAAAAGACGTAGAACTAAATGCGCATTACCAGTTACCATACGTTTTTACTTTTGTTTCAGTTTTCCATATGTTTATTTCACTTAGTATTTCATATAACGACAAATGTTGTCTTCCAAAAAAAAAGATTCGTTCAAGAGTTGTCACCATACCAAATTAGATAGCTACATTTGCATCCAAAATTTTTATCTTTCCTTACACTACATTTAAAAAATGTACACGCTCCTCCTAATATTTGCACTCTTCTTCTATCACTTTGCATGGATGACCGATTATGAGGTCAGATAATAACAGCACAATGTTGCTGCCGTTTAATTTCAAGCAGAGAATGCAAATATTAGAAGTACCGTGAACGAAAAAATTAGGCACCACAAATCTGGTTACTGGACAGCGATTTCAAGAAATAATGCCTCGACTCGCTTTAATAGGTATGGAAATTACAATCTGACGTCAACAACCAAGTATATATGTTCGAACGAGGATGTAGTTCTACCTGTGTTTCTGGATGTATTGCACTATCTGATATGGAAAACAGATTTATGAGGTTTTACTATAAATCTTCAATAACGAACCACAACGTAAACCAAATTTACAAAGGTGAGATTGTCTTTTCTCATTACTTCAAAACAAGTCTATTATTTCAGCTGTTCGTCTTGCTGCCAAACTGATGGCTGTAATACAGATAACCAAGGATTGAAAGTTTCCGGTATACAGTCATCCTTGTTGTATCTTATGATAATTATCCACTGCAACACTACTTTTTTATAACACAAATTACTACACAACAGAACAGAAGGGAAAGTTAAAACAATCAACATGTATTCAAGACAAGCTTCACATGATTTTTGATACATATCAATAAATATAATTCAAATTTTGGAAGAGTTTTGAACAACTTCTTTTATTCATCATATAATTCTAAAATCAAAATGTGATCAGAACTGCAAACTACACCCTTCAATGGAATAAATTATTTCCGATAAAACTCCCTTTTGTTTCAATAATTTATCAGCACAATAACAAAAAACTTCAAAACATTAGATAAATTAACGCAAGAAAAACCCACTCTTAGAACATGTTAAAAACAAGAAATATGTAAAAATAGTCGAAAAGTATGCTATGATATGTTGAGATGTAAATTTTTATAACGAGCTTAAAAAAATAAATCAGTATTTATTTCTTTACAAAAAAATTTGGTAACATTACATATCTAAAAAATCAATTCATCGTCAAAAATGAAATAAAAGAAGATAAAGCAGATCTCATTTTGTTCGAAACAAGGAAGTTTCACTAAAAAATGCTACACCTTAAATTAAACTACCCTATAAACCACCCCGAAAATAACTGCTCTATAGGTTTTTTGTGAACCCCAGTTCTAATTTACCTTACTCACCTTACAAATAACTTTTGCATACAAAACATTTCATAAAATTACTCCACAAATCAAAAATAGAAATCCACATCTTTCTTTTACTCATAATTCATTAGGTTTGGAATAATTCCTAAAAAGCATACGAAAATTAATCAGATTTTATAGACTAACACCTAATAAAACCACATGATGAATTACACTAAGACTTAGAAAATGGAACAATTCTAATGTGGAAGAAATGTTTCAAGTTTTGGATGTCTTTCGCACTGCTGAGATAGAATCCAAAAATACGTCGGGAATCTTGGGACCGTAAAATATTTTATTATTTGCAGCGATTGCTTCGATTTTCTTTAGTTCCAAGAATTCTCTAAAACTGAGTCATCAATAATGATAATTCGCAAATTATTCACTATTTCATTTCTATGTTATAAAGAAAAACAGAATCAATGAAGATTTGGATAAAACTTTTAAACCATACGGCGTTAAAAGCAGCTTGTTACCCTCTGCTTCCTTCTTCCTTGAATAAAATTCAGCATCTGCACGAGCAATGATACGAGCCATATGACTTTCATCTAAATTATTAGATTCAAACTAACTGATGAAAGAAATGCAGCAACAAAGTACTGTCTAAAATAATTTACATATCATACCTTCTAGTTGAGAAATACGCTTCTGTGTTTCTTTCTCAGCAATGTGCTGCTCATAATGGATCATTGCTACTTGAGCATTTTTCTCAGCTTCTGAAAGAATTTTATGCTTAATATGAAAGAAAATTTAAAGTAATTGAAGCTGGAAAATCGTACTGTACTTTTTGATTTTCTTTTCATTTACATTGCAAAAAAATCCATGCTAAAATAATTGTACAAAATTCCACGAAGGAGAGTCATCTCATACAAGGGTCAGACTTAGATACATTCCATATACTGTTTCAAGAGGAAAGGAAGTAGCCTTCTCGTGATCCCATCCAAGTGCATACTCGTGCCACAAATTTTTTTTTGAAAACTTGTAAAGGTTCGATATTAAGTTTTTTGGCCTGAAATCGCTACCTTTTTTGATAAACCTTTTGAAATCAGGAAAATCCTTAGTAGAACCATAAGTCTTGCTGTTCCTCATTTATGCACATCCATGTGAAAATATGACAAGGGGAGTGAAGCCATCAGGATAGACAGCTAGCATAGGAAAGAAGATAAGCTTGAATAACTTCCACAAAACCCTCATAAATCGGTATTTTGCTGGTTTAACGCTTACAGATAAAAACTTAATGGAGGTCAAGGAGTGCATGTGGGACATGAATCTCATACCTGCTTTTAAATATGATTGTTATGAAACCTTACGCATGATAATAAAAAGTGTGAGCCTAAGAATGTAACATTAGAAGTTGTCAGTCCCAGTATGAATTCATGAACCAAAATGCAAAGTTCAGTTATTTAGAAGGCGGTTCTATAGAAACCTGACCATGCAAGAGTTTGTAGCCACAATATAGGAACAGATGAAATCAGGAAGTTCTGGGCTACGATGCAGAACTCGAGAATGGGAGATGATAACATCTGGCACAACGAATATCTGGAAGAATTCGTTTAAGATTATTAAGTACAGGATAGTCAGCGAAATCAGCGATGCGTGTTCGTTCCTTCAGAAATACTGCAAGAATGAGAACTACTGTTACGGTCTATTACTTTTTTTCGCTTCTTGGATGTCACCCATGAAGTGGAAGATTTTGCAGAAAGAGAAAAGACGCTGCTTGTTGTACTTACCTATAACGGCTTTTTTTCGTTCAGTTTCGGCCTCTTTTTCAACTACCTTTTGATGCTGTATAGCCACAAGAAGTTTGGTTTTTTCAGCTTCCCTAAAAGAACCACGTTTAACTGCATAAAAATTGTTCATGATGAATCCTAAAAATTTATCTTTATTATAATTTGTACAGACCCGATTCGCAAAAAACTTCCAGTTTATGATCAAGAACTTCGGAACGCACATAACTATAGTTGATGTAACTTCATGTTAGTATATTTACAGATATATGTCATGAATCAAAATAATTCATTGCTTAAAAATCCGGCATTAAAATATAATAAAAAACACACATCTGTTCATAATTTTTTCGTATTGACTCAGGAATTTTGGGTTTTGTCACACGAACCGCCTGAACAAAAAGACCTGGAGCCATCTTTATCAAATCTTTCTGTAGAGCAGTTTTTAAATTTTCATCAATCTGATCTAAAAATGCTATCAATTTGATCTAAAAGACATGGCATTTACAAAGCATCACATAAAATGATTTTAAAAAAAGGCATAAGTAAAATCGCTACGAGAATTCTTTGGCGCATGACAATACCTAATGAACTGTTAACATACCAAAGAGATCAATATAAACTTCCTGAAGAGTATGACTGCTACAAAACTGATTCACTTCATGATGGACTTTATTGAATATCAGTGGCTTATCATAATCGACGGTGTAATTTTTAACAATATCGTATACTGAAATTCTTTCATATTCACATTTTCATCTGATATTTAGTATGACTGCTTAGAACTTTAAGTAGTACTTTCTTTAAATTCGAAACAAAGCAGAAATTTTTCAATAATAACGACATAATTAAACGCGAAAAGTTGTATTACCACTTGAAGAAGATAAAATATTTACAACCTCGATTCGATCAAAATATATCATAACACCACCACTGAAAACAGCATTCAACAGAAACTTAATTTCAAAATAACTGCAAAAAAAATTAATTGACTTGTAAGAAAAAAGTCAAGAAACAGTCCATTATTTGCTGTTTATTAATCTATCGGATCTCATGGAAAAAAAATGCACATTTTAACATTTCGTTACTCAATTCTTCAGTATGGTGCTACCGTAGTTTCTTTATGGCTCGCATGCATTTTGATATCAATAAAGACGAAACAAGTGAGCACCACTGCGAAATTACTATGAAGTGTTTAAAAGATATCCTGGCTTCGTTAGCAAGTGAAACAGAAAATGAGAAAAAATGAATTGATAACTTGCCTAGTTCCACAAGGCACATTCTTAGCCTCATCAGTTTGCAAAGTGACTTGTACTGATTTATATGTTGTGAAAAATGGAAACATCAAATGATACCCAGGTTGACTAACACGACTTAATAAAGCTCCACCCTGTAAAAAAGAAACTTCTGATGCTCAATGAAAAACTATGATTATTAAGATTTTACAAGCATTTCAAAACAAGACAACTTTTTGTATCCTTTTCTTTCAAATCTAATACTAGCAAATTCCATTGCTTACGCGATAATAAACTCCAACATGCCCTTCCTCAATATGATGCAAGGAAAACGCCATGAATGAGGCTATAATCGCACCGAGCGCTATCATGGGCCATCCCGGTACCATTTCTAAAATATATATTTGGCTTCATTACTAGTAACAGAAAATAATCCTTAATAGTTTAAAAAATCGCCAACAAACTTCCAAGTCATACCTATTCTAAGCTTTCAAATCAAACAGCAACTTTTTTTTCACTCGACTAATATAGAAATCTTGGTACTCAAACAATCAGTGGGCAATTACAAAACCGTCGTGGTTCACTTCCATGAAAGTTAATGAAACCGAAGGGTGCAATCGGTCATATTCAGAAAATTCAAAAAACAGCGTAAAATTGTTTATTGATCTAATAAAATAACTGCACAACAAATTTGAGGATTATAATAGGTCGTAAATTCGATATATCAGCAGATTCACAATTTAACTGCTTTGACATGGGGCCACGATGCATCGTTGCTGCGGTTAAAAGATCTGCCATTGAAATTCGAGTAATACCTTAATATTCAAAAGCGTTACAAACAAATGGAATTTATGCTATTTTTACAAAGTATGAAAAGGAGATAACTGGCTGACAATTGCAAAAAACAGAACGAAACTTAAATAATAGTTCCCAAAAATATCAGGCTGCACAATGAAGAAAATAAGGCTGATGACAATGGCTAAGCAAATTTAAAAAAAAAAAAACGATCCATCACAAGCAATAATCAGATAATAACAACATACCTACACAGAGATCTGGTGAGTAGATCCGGTTCAAAAAGATTGATATTTCGAAAAGACTGTCCAAAGTACTTTTATATATGGATAACTGAGTAGTGCAGAGGTGTTCTTTTCGATTCATATCAACTTCAGCACATTTCGATGACTGTCCGATTCGGAATTTGCAAAATACTGACTGCGCACCCAATAGCCTCAGTGCATTGTCCACATTCCGAATACAAACCAATTCAACAAAAAGTCGGCCTTGTTCCGATATATCTCCAGCCACTGATGGTGTCTAAATAAATAATAAATTGAACGCCATAAATTGTACTAAACGTTTTGCTATGAGGACGGGAGAACTAATGTTTAAAAAATGGAATATCTGACAAATAACATCTACATATTAAATGAATATAAACCTCCAAAGTCAGAGACTGATTACGATACTCAGTAATAGCTTTTTCAATTTGTGCAACCCAAAATACACGAGCATTTCGATTTGGTGCACGTAGCACTACAGAAAACTCTCCTGAAACCCATACCTAGAATTCAAATTATTCCAGAAACAAATGTAAAATCACAAAAGTAAGGAGTTAATGATACCGCAAAACAAAAAATATCTAACCAGCATGAACTTCAAACGAACAATCATCCATTTCTTTAGTTTGACTGACTCCAGCGTTTTCTAGCAATAAAGGCATTTTATAAAGATTTAATTGCACTTCACTGACTTTAGAGATCCTGAATTCTTCCAGCTGTAATAAGATAACATAAAAGTATCACGATTAATTCGTAATGAAATGTGGTGCAGAAAAATTAAACCTGTTCAATTGGATCCAATGGTGTTGTTAACATCAAAAAATCATTGAATAGCAACGCAACTAATGTTTTTCCATTTAACTGTTTTTGCAAAGCTCCAGAATGCAAAAGACATCGTGGTCCAACCTTTCTAAAAATAAAAAAGTGATTATAGATATTAGATAAGCATCAGATTACGCATAATTTCTACATTCCTAAATTAAAAAATGGCATTACCGTGTAGATGACAAAAATACAATAGGTGGTTGTATAGCATCACAATGAATATGTTGTTGGGCCCAAATAAGCATGCTTGAGTTATCCATGGCATTGATAACATCATTGATTTCCGCACATAAAGATTTTAGCGACTCATGTGCTTTTTCAAGATTCTGTATGAGCATTATGATTAACAAATAAATAAATAAAACAAATCTCATAAATGAGAAAACCAAATAAACTTAAATTGCCACCTTACGTTTCGGGTCATCTAAACTAGTACACTTGACAAGCTTCTCAAAAATCAGTGGATAACGAGTGATACGACTCATCGGTAAAAGTAGAAAGTAATTGAGATTCAGTCCATTTGTTTTCATACAGCAAGAACGATAGGACTGAAAAAATTAAGAAAAAGAAACAAGTTACGTAAGAGAAGAATAGAAATAAAAATAGTTTAAAATTACAATTTTAGGATTAGAAATAACCAACTTCATAGAAATGAAATAAAAGTTTACCTGTCTAAATGAAGCGCTGTTTTGTTCAAGTTCATGTAGCGTTTCTAGCGCTGCTTGTTGTTTTGAACAAAATTCGACATAAGCACGAAGCATAGGAATTTTATCCACGAACACATCACCTTTAAAATAATAGCAACAATCATATCAAATCTGGATCACTGCCTACGATCTACTCATGAAAAACTTAGAAACTATAGTCCCAACAACAAATATGTTCCAAAATAAATGGCTGAACTTGATTCACTGAGTAATCCATGAATTAAATGTTCATTAAATGGAATGATGAAGACGTGAAATAAGAAAAAAGCAAATTATGATCTCGTTTTCAAACTTTCAATTTTATTGTCTTTTCTATTCTGCTAGAAAATATGATCAAAATAAGATCTAAAATGATACTTCAAGAAAGCACTATTTTGTTATTCTTTTACAATAAAACGAACCAGGTGACTGCTGAGTGAGCGCATTATGCACAGAATTAGAAACTGATATCAGTTCTTTACAATTCAAAAATAATTTTTTCTTGAGTTCAATGGTAATTATTTCGCGCAATCCTTGAGTAAAAACTTTATAACAACTGGCTAGATCATGGCAATATTTCCTTTCTGTATCCAATAATTCCTGAAAATGTGCAACAACTGAAGTGCAAAGTAGTACATAAAAAAGAGTCATTAACAAAACCTGAATCATACTAGACAAATCTGCCTCGTTATTCGCTGCTTTAGCATCACTGAGCTCAGTATGTCGGCATTTCTATATTAGGCTTTGCTGTTTCCACTACATAAAAAATAACAAGCAGATAGACATAAGTAATTTTCAGTAACCGTGTATTGGGATAGCTATAACGATAATAACAAGAAAGACACATACTTTCGCAAGTTTTTTAGATTTAGTAGCAACAGTAGAATACTGATCGCATACTGGAAAAACTTCAGGCTTTGATCGTGTTATTGAGTTTGAAGGCATTATCTCTGGTTGGGCGATTCCCCTAAATAATGTCGAATAAGAAGGATAAAAATCTGGTATGATTTAAACAGAAGACAGAAATTTTGAATTTTACAACTGACACAAGTGATATATATCAATCATCTCACTTCAAGAAATTTAGTGGAATTTTCGATTTTTGAATTAGCAATAACTTATTACATCAAAAATACATGTAATGCCAAATCTAATGTTAAAATGCCTAGGATTCACCCATCTCTCATGAAGTCAATACTTCCAATTTCATCAAATAAAATCTTATGCTTTTTAATTACTTAGAAATAAGGCAGTAATAATAATTCATAAATATCATACAGAAATTGTCAAGAAAATGATTTCTGTAAAAACGCTATCAAATTCCAAGGCAGTTCAACACCATTCAAAGCAAAATAGAGTCCAATTTGAACTTACAACCAAAATAATGCATGCTTTAACTACTACTGGACTAAGACATCCATCTATAATCTCTGATGACGATAAAAGAAGCCCCTATGCTTCATACTTTTTGCTTTCTTTTATCTCGCTGGATCTTATGGATAAATGAGATGCATTTTTGTTCTTCGCAATACTTCAATCCGAATGCAGAGCAACTTTTAGGAGTAAACAAGATCAATTATGCGAAATGTCAGGATTTTAGGTAATTGGTGCCATAATTGAAACTAATCCCACTTTTAATTTCCGGATTCTGGAATAGGTACAGTCTCATCTTTCAAATCAACTACTATGTTTGTTATTCCATCTATGTTTTCAGTACATACCACAATTATTCCAAAAAAGCAATCCAGAAATGTCGAAATATGACAAAACGCGGAGAATCCTACCCCAAATTCACTTATTACGCAAATGTTTGACCAATCAAGTAGAATCGCGACAACAACTATTTGCCACCAATCTCGGTTTAATTAAATCATTTTCATTTATACGAAAACGGTCAATATGAATACATTGATGTCGAATATTCTCTTGAATAAAGCTCATTTTATTTGCTTTTCTACGGATGTTTTCATAAAAAGTACAGACACAAGTAAAACTAATGGACTGAGAATTCCCTAGAATATAACGTACTTCCTTCGTCACTTAAAAGGTCACTCAAGTTTCAATTTCAATGTCTGGAGATATACAACATTTTTCTTTGATACAGCTTTTGAGCGAAAGATTTCATTCATTAAAAGTTTATTTCCACTCTGCTGCATAACATTCATTCCTTGCGCATTGTTTTCGCTCTGGTGACAAACGGATCTTTTTAAATGTAGCACAACATCAATTTTCACCAACATATAATTTATCGGTATCAGTCTTTTATCTTTCAAATAACAAGTGCAGAATATGTCAACTGCAATGTTATTCTGTGCTATAAAAAAAGAAAATTCTATTAAAAAATTAAGGATTATGCAAGCACTGACAGCAAATGACAAAACTGATGGATGCAAAATAATACTCATGTTCTCTAAGATTTGAATTTAATCCATCTGTTTCAGAAGCGAAATTGGCAGAATTACAAAGTTTCAACAATATGCAAATAAGGTCGAATAAAGAAAATAACTGCAGTGATTTGCAATAATAACATTTTTTTTAAAACGAAAATCTCTGTGTTCGTTACTTAATATTTATTAAACAATAGTTCAGAAATTACGTTTATTACAAAATGTATCACTTCACAACCAGGAGGACCACATGAAAATAATATCAGTAGAAATACTCATCAACAAGAAAAAACTATAAAATAGTGATTGAAATTCATTTCTAATAAACGAATCTCTTCTTAAATTACTTTCAACGACTGACAGTGCTCTAATATCAGAAAAATAATTTTGGTTAAACTCTATAAAAGCATAACACAAAAATTCAGATGCCACATTAATAAAAAAACATTATCTACCTTTAAAGATCGCCACTGAAGAGGAAAATGTATGATAACACGTATGACTTCGTAGCATGTATAATAACACGTATAACTTCGTAGTATGTATGATATCACGTATGATTTAGTTAAATGTGTAAATGACAATAACCCTACAGAAATATCGATGGTAGACTGTCAGAGCGCAAAGTTTATAATCAAATGAAATATGAAATGAATATTGGAAATTTAGAATGCCGAAATAAATGTTAATCGCGTTGTAGACAGATGGTTTGACATTGTAAACATATTATCCTTGTTGCAAATGCCGTCATCAGAACATTAAAGTCTAATCGACTTTTCAAAATAAAGTAGCATCAAACACAAAACATTTCAGTTCAGTACTTTTTCTTTCGATAGTGAAAGAATCTACCAGAACATCATATAAAAAGTTATCGACCTACACCATTTTCAAAAGTATATTATTTAGTTTTACTGAACTGCTTTTTGGTGCAAAACTTAGAACCAGTTTTTGCTCATTCCACTACTGTCACTGAAGCAAATGTCATATAGCCATTAATTTGCATAATACTAAATTTTAAGACATGTTCAATTCGCTTATGAGATGTTCAAAGCTAGAAATTTGTACTCCTTAACATGCCTAGTTTGAACTATGATTACATAAAATAAAGCAGGTGGATTCAAAAATATTATACGACGTCACCACATCCTTTTTTTTCTCACTACCACCAATATCTATCGCTTTAATTTTTGCAAAATATAAGAGATCTGTTATGCTTAATAATCATGACAATACAAGTAACATTTCCGTAATGTAAGAGACTAGGTCCCACCTTAAAAATTCCAATTCAATTTTGAAAATGGTTGTAGATCAAACCGAATAAAATTCTTTGGTAGAGGTCCTTCCTTTCAACTTTCTACTTGGCAGAAATAATTTAAAAATCAGTATTCCAAAGCAATTTATTTCTGCGTTATTTAAATTAACTTCACTGTTACTATTCTTGTTCAACAGCACTAGCACTTGAACAAAAGAAGGCTAGAAAGATCAACATAGTGAAAAGATATTAACTTACAAAGCAATAAATCGTTTACATCCGGTTTGTCAATGAAGTCAAATTTTTAAGAAACGAGCAAATCGAAACATATTGTTTTAGTGAAGAACAAAATTTTCAACAAAGAAAAATCAATTAGGGGGTAGAATAAAGAACATTGTAGATTGTGTTGAACTGTCCATTAAGATTTCTACTGATATTGTCTGTTTACATTCTACTTTCAGTGCACAATATTATCAGCTTCGAATTTAGGGAAATTAAATATGGACTTCTTCTATTACTGCAATTGATAAGAAAATTGAAATACGAGTGTTAGGAATATCAATTATCAACCTCTACAATGATATTGTACTTTTCATCTTGCTTGTGCAATAATCGAGAAAAACAAATGTGGAGTAGACAGTATATTTGGGACTCATGTGACTATAAATAATCATAATGTATTTGAAGACAAACAATGATCCGTTCCAGATGAATACTGCTTTTTACAATAAAGAAGGATGACAGATGACAAACTGATAAGACTAAATCTTTATAATATACAAAAGAACAAGAAAGGGGGCGATGAAAAAATTAGTCGCCCAAACTAAACAGTAATATTTCCTAGGACCGTAGTTTTTCAAGCCCAAGGAAAGACTTCTATAAAAGAATATTTGAAATGCATGGTGACGAGAAAATGGTGATGACCATCATTATCCTCCAAAAAAAAACATTTACCAATTTAATTTCCGATGCCTCAAAAATTTAATTTAAGGTGAGATCAGTTTCATCAGAAATCTATTTTCTAATAAACCCAATCATGTCTTGACCAAAAATTTCAGTCAAACTGTGATATTTATCAAATTTCTTTACTATGAAAAATCAATATGAAAAACAAGTACTTTGTTTATATTTGACATAGAAGGAACGACAAAAATATGGAAATGGAACGTAAGAGATACTACATACAGACCTCTCATGTGAAAAGATGGAGTAAATCCATAGGTGAAAGCTAAATATGCTTAATATGAATTAGACTACGCAACACTCTGTGAAAGAATCCTTCAAATGCATAATGATGAAAGGATGATAACAAGCCATATTTCCTTCGAACAGAAACATTTATCAATTTGAGTTTTAATACAAGCTTTAAAGTAATTGTAAAAATATCAAATGATTTACGAGAAAGTAAAATCATTTGCTTTGACAAATAGTACATAAGTGTAATAAAATCAATCACAGACAGTTAGAAATACTGGATAATAAACATGATGCTAATTAAGTAGACACAAATTCAAAATCCCAATGCAGTGATTTTTATTTCAACCGAAATGATTGAGAGAAAGAGCTACTGCCGCAAAGTTTCATTTCCTAAAAACGAAGACTCTCAAATTAATAACCTTCTAAATGATAGCAGTTTACAAGATCATAAAATATGCACTACACTCAAAGGTAACCAAAACGTCACCAGAGCTACTAACATACTGCCGAAATACGCCACAAAATAAGATACGCTAGCTAGAACAGTAAGCATACAATAATTTACAAGAATCAGTTTTGCTCCTCAGTGATCAATACAACATGCTAAAAATAAAAATTTTCCTGGGAAAATGAATTGACCCTAACAAAAGTAAATAATGACTACATTTGAAATTCAGAATTATGCACCGAATTCAGAGATTTTAAACAACTTCAACTTTAGCTTTTTCAAGTCCTTGGGATTTGAAACAGAATTTTCTCTATAGATCAATAAACACAACATCATTTTGCTAAAGAATTAAACGAAATATCTGAAATTTTCTTTTGTACTTGGTCATGAAAACCAAAATTTGAAATGATGCAAATTTATGGGCCTTAACTACAATCCAAGAAATGAAAAAAAAGATTAGACACTGACTAGGAGATATCTTGGAATTTTTAAAAATTATCGAAGGCTAACTGAAGCTTAAGACTCACAAAAAAACTCACCGAAACTTGACATAATTTCCCGGAAATAATCCATCACTCGTATTTTCTCCATTGAGCAGTCGTCCTTTCCACCACTCACCATCACTCTGATCCTTGACTATTATGATTTCACCGACTTTGAAAGACAGTTCATCATCCCGTTGTGCTTGATAATCATACAAGGCTTCCGCTTGTAACTCATCTGCACCTAAGATTGCCACATAATTACCAGGGAACCAACCAACTTTTTTATCGTCATCTTCAGAAACAATCTGTAAATATGTCACTGTGATGACTGAATAATAAAATGCTCAAACAATGCTTAAATCAGAAATTAACACCTCATCCTTCATTATATAGTCAAAAGTCTTCAGAAATAAAAGGGATAAGTTTTTTGCAACTATGGAAATCGCTAACATAAAATTCATGGCTGATTCAAATTTTAAATGCTTTAAATGTTCCAAATGTACAAAACTCAGTTAAATAACAAATTTTAAATCATGATTAAATTGAAAAGTATTCGCAAAAGCTAATTAAATCTCTTACTTCGCCTTGCCACCAACCAGATGATGACTTTTTCGAGACCTTCACAATATCACCAACTTTCAAAGACAACTGATTGCTTGCAGTAGCATCGAAATTACCAAGAGCTTTGGCCATACACGAATCTACGTTTTCTAAAGTAACTTTTTTCAGAAACAATCTGTAAATATGCTTTAAAAACCAAATCCTTTAAACGAACTGCTTTAAAATGTCCCAACCTGATTGAATTACAGGCAAAGACGGTGCCAACTTTTGCACATAATTTGCAGGAAACATCCCACTTCGGCCACAACACATTCCTTTCCACCATTCATTAGTTGCCTCGGTAACAAGAATACGATCACCAGCATGCAAGTCTAGATCTGTTGGCTCCATTGCTTGGAAGTCATACAAAGCTACGTACCATTCGTCAGACGTCGACTCAACTGACGGTTCTACTGCATAATTAAATTATTAAAATTTTCAATAAAACCAGTAATTTGAGATCTACCATCAGTTACCAATATGAAGTGATCCAATATTATCTTCAAATTAAAATACAAGCATGTATAAATTCAAATATTAACCTGAAACAGCATCATAAACTGCACCAGAAGGAGTGGATGACAATGAAGAAGCATCTGTTATATTGGATTTCCTGGACTTCTCAACCTGATCTTTTGGTAAGCTATCTTTCGAATCTGATTTCATATCTCCACTTAGCATTGAAACGCATGATTTAGGAAACCAACCAACAGCACCAGATTTATTTCGACCCTGTAAAAAAATAAGTATAACGTACTCATTTTCGCTTTTTCTTTTTTCAGTTCATTAAGAAAAATTCTTGAGAAAATAACACTGCATTTAACGTGGTTAAATAATACTATAAATTCATATGAGATAGGATTCAAAATTTTCGTCGACATTCATATATGTAGAAAAGTCAACAACCATTGTTCAAATCAAGTCTGGATTCATTAATGTGGCACCTGACCTTCCAACGCATTTCCGATAGCTCCATGATTTCTATGGTGTCACCTTTAGAAAAACTAAGCTCGCTATCATTTCTTGCCTTCCACTGATAAAGTGCAACTGCTGATCCCAATATAGCTTGTAGTTTTTCTTGGTCTATAAAACACAACTGGCATCAACAGATGTTATTTATGATTCCAAAAATAACTACTTATGTGGATAATACTTTTTTTGCGCTAGAGAATGGAGACAACAATAAATTATGGCTCATAACCAAAAAAAGATCTCAAAATTACTTTAGAATTTCTTAAAGATTACGAAGATTCAATTAGCAATGCCGTTACCGAATAGCGCGTTTACAGAAGACACTGATTTAACAACAGATGTAACAGGTTCTTCAACGATGCTTTGCAATGGTTCACTAGAAGGAGATGTGGGGACGGATGATACTGTCTGCGGAGGCTAGAAAAATATTTAAATATATACATCTAAATTGGAAGTAGAATGTCGGAACAAAAATGAAAATAAAACTAAATCAAGTGGGAACACGGGTATATTACTTGCACAGATACGACATTAACAGGAGCCATTGGTTCAGCGAATGCCGCAGGAAACCACCCTACTTTATCTCGCATTTGTCCAGCCAACCAACCTGGGTCAGCAGCGTGATTTTCGAACGCAAGAATAACATCTCCTCGTTGAAAGCTGAGCTCATCATCTAAAAATAATGCAGTTTAAGGATGATATACAATACTGCTGCTTCTTTCTAGAAAAAACATAGAAAAACAATTTCAGATGGAAATGCGGAAGAATGGATCACATAACAGGTTTGAAAAATGACCAGAACGAGCAGTGAATTCATACAATGCACGATACTTTACTGCACCAGCAATACCATTCCTTTTTGGTAATGCATTATTAGAAGTCGAAAACTGTTGCGCCTCTCCATTAATAGTGTTTTCTGTAAATAAGTAAGTCCACTTTGGACTTTTGCTAAAAAATTGCGTTCAATGCTATAATCATCCAGGTATAAAAAATGACCAACAATGAAACAAACTTGGATCTGGAGAAAAGGGCTGATTCATTGAGTGATTCGAGGAAGATACAGGAATCGTTTTTGTGACATCATCATTGTTTCCCAAGATTACACTTACTCTCGCATTTAAACTTACCATTTGTTCATAAAATTTAGCATGCAAAGCCGAAACTTCATTTAATTTTGAATTGCATTCATCCAGTTCTTTTGCTTTCTGAAAGTTTTGTGGCAAATTATTTCCAACAAAATGGTTCTAAAAAGTATACAACAGAAATGGTAGACAAAAATACTTTAGAGACTAATTGCTGTTGTACTTTTGCTCGCTCTTCTGCATCCATTATCTGACTGGTAAGAGCCGATAAATGCGCACTCAAAGATTGTTTAGAATTCCGTACTTGCTCAAGATCTTGAGCTTTTCGTGCTCTATTCCTACATTCAACTTGCATTTGAAGATTTTCATGAGCTAGTCGTTCGCATTGCACATTTAACTGAAAATTCAATAAGTTGAAAAGTTTATTAAGAACTTTCAAAATTTTATATAGAAGATAAAACCTTAATAAAGTCATAAAATCAGCCAATAACCACTGAATACAAACAATAATACATGGTTTGGTTTTCAAGAAAACTATAAGATCCTGTCTAAAAGAACTTTACTTGCTGTTTCGTCATTTCCAGAGACCGGATTTTATCTGCTTTTCCATCTCGTTTAGTTTTCATTGATTCTATTTCTTGCGTAATACAAAGAATCCGGTCTCTTGCCTATAAAAAGTATAATAATCTAGAAACTATCAGAAGAACGTTATTATACTCATTTAAACTGTTTAAAACTCATTTGAAACTACTTGCTTCTAAAAGGGAAAAATTAATAGATAGTATATCTATTAAAATATATATATGTATTATTATATTAAAATGAATTAATTTCCTAGAGAAAAGTACCTCCGTGATACTAGTATTCAGTTCAATAGACTTCTCGTCCAGTGCTTGAAGTTGAAATGACAAACTTTTACGCCGTTGTTGGCGTTCGACAGTGATGTCCACTTCATTTTGACGATGCGCCTAAAACTTCCAGACAACTTCATGAACTTCTTGAACACAAATAAGTACTAAGTCTATCAATCCTTTTTTTTAAACACTTATTTCCAATTGCTGTTCCCTTAAATAGTTTTTGTTTTGCAAAAACATTCAGTCTTTAAAATATTTTGATATCAATTACTAGATAAATATTGATGAAACTGCTTCCATAAGATTCACAAACTTTGATCTCTCGGATTCTTATAGCATTTAAATCGGCTTTCCGTTGCCTTTCCATTTCTTTCCTAGCTTCTTCTTTCTCTGCCAAAATACGTTTTTCTTCTGCCAAACGAACTTCTTCACGTTTTTTCTCTCGTTCTAACTCCGCCTCACGTTCAACTTCACGTTTTTTTTCAGCTTCTATTCTTTCTCTCTCCCGTTTTTCTGCCAGCTCTCTCTCTTTTTTCTCAAATTCTGCGCGACGACGTTCTTCCTAAAAATTCTATCTAGACCAAACTTATCAAGGAATTGAAAAGATTGCAACAAACTTATCAAGATTCATGCATTTGTCGAATCAAATTACAAACCTCTTCAAGTAATGCCTGCCGACGTCGATCTAATTCAGCTTGTCCACGATCATAATTATCACGACGTTTATCTTCAAATGTTTTCGGTACATGAACTTTCTGTGCAGGTGGTGCAGTCGAATCATGAACTGGGGAGTCGGAAACTGAACGTGAACAATGGGTAGCTAGCTCGGGCGGAAGAGTTTTTGGAAGTATGTAACCAGCCTAGATTATTTTTGACTTAAGAAACTAGAGATAGATAGATTAGCCAGTAACTTCGTAGAATCGAAAACGAGCAGTTCAAAAAAATGAATACCTTGACTGATTCTATGAGATGCATAGCAACACAAAACTCCTCTACACTTAGCCGACCATCTTTATTGTAATCACTCAAATTCCAAATCTCCGCTAGGATAGAATTTGGCAACTGGCTTTGTGCCATAACGTTCCTGAAAGGCTAGCTATAAATAAATTATGCATAAATCCTAACATTCAATGGGCATTAGCAAATATGAAATATTGACATAAGATTGAAGATGAATAAATCACAATTATGCATGAATTCATGTTGCATGTAAATAATAACCTAGCATGAATACCACTAAGAGAGCCAACTCTGCTTTTTTCAAGCTGATTGAATTGTTGACAATATTTTAGTTTGTTGTGGTACGGTATGGTCCAATCACCTTGCACCTTTCCAGATTTTATCATATCTTGTGCCGTATTTGACCGAATGTCGCAAGCTATGACTGGTCTGATAACTGGCAATTGAGAAGCCAGAGGAGGATATGATGAAGACATTGTCGCCGGAAGCTATAAGTTATAAATCCATTAGGCATTCAAAAATAGAAGGCTATTGACAATTAATCTAAAACTGGCTCAATGACTTTAACTCAATCCCGAGAATGGAAAAAATTCTCTACAACAAATTACTTTTAATGAGACTGGTAGTGTTTGTGGTAACAATGCACCCGCTAAAACTGAACGAATCAAATGCATTGCAATCGAGAATTCAATTCGGTCCATTTTACCATCCTGAAAAGTTTCGAAATTCGTGACATCCTATAGCTTCCGGCGAACACACTGAATGGTAATTCACTAATGTACTAATGCATGTTTCAAAATGTAAACGAAAATGCATACCTTGCTATAATCCGCCAAATGCCAAACCTGAGCCAATATTGCTGGTGAAAGTCCGGATTTCATGAATAACGGCCGCACTTGATCGCCTGATACGAAACCATTAACAGGATTGAGAGATGAGAATTGAATATCATACTCATGCACTTCGGCTTCTGTCATTACCCACGGCGAAGCGCTCATTGCTTTAAGTATTAAAAATACATGAAGTACATGCAGGAATAAATCGTTATCTTGTATTTTAGTACTTAGTACTGCGCTCCATCAAAAACAACAAATATATCGCAAAGCTAAAAAGCAATATATTTTATGGTTCGTGATAAGAAATGAACAAAAGAATTTCAAAGGAAGTATCAACGAAGATGGATACCATCAGTAATGAGAATAGTAGTGAAGGTGATGTGAATGAACTAATGAATTCAAACAGCTTTCTCAGTGATGCATACCATTTCTATACAGTTCGAAATAGTCATGTGAAAAAAGTTATTACTGTGAATGTTTACTGAACAATTTATTAGATGCTAAAGTCATATTCTAAACTGAATTTGTTATTTTTTATACAGTATTGTAATATAAATTGAGTATAAAGTTTTTATACTTTTTATATAGTATTGTACGTGTAACAAAAAAAAAGCAGCAACACTTAGCAAAACGATCAAGTCAACTTTATACTCAATTTATATTACAATTCCCTCTAAATACTTTTTTGATTCACAAAGTCACGAATGAATATGAAAATAAGTAAACTAAACGCGATCAATGTTACAGCTGACAATAGACAAAAATAGTGATGACAGTTGACAGTGATAATGATCACAGTAAATGAAAAACAGATAAAAGTAACACATTTACAATAAATCAAAGTAAATGATAGATGAAAAAAAAGAATATTAATAACAGCAGCTGATCATGAATAAAAATAATAATTATAATGAGACAATAAATAACCATTATACTAGTGATAACAATAACTATAATAAGAATAATTATTATAATAATAATAATTATTGTAAATTATTATTATAATTATGGTGGATAAAAATGAAAAGATAATTACAGTAATAATAATGGTGTTCTAAAAAAAAATCTATAGAGAGAACAGTGAATTACGATGCTGTTATCCGAAATACTGCGCCATTTCGTGCTCATCTATTTAATCGTATTTTGCAGCAGTTACGCTCAGCTATTTGTTCGTATTATAGAATAACAGTATATACTTTAAATAATTACGATGATGATGGTATGATATGGTAACTGTTCGTTGATGTGTAGCAGTTAGCATATCATACCATCACCATAAAGTATTTGCAGCAATTAACAAAACTGCAATGTAGTGCTGCATATATTGTTATTTCTAGAAGTAGTAGTGAGTATGAATTTGAATTCATAGATGAGGCAAGAAATATATGAAGAAAGGAAATATCAGAACACGTCCGAAACCTCACATGGATCGCTTATCTACATGAGGAACAATGTGGTGCATAGAGTGCGAGGATCAATTTTTAACGTTATATCCTGTTACATTATTGCTCTCCACGTTAGTGTTCACGTTTGCTGCTTTCAGAGTTAAGTTCTAGCTTCTTTTACGCAGTATATCAGTAAAATATTATAGTAGGATTGCTAGCTTAATAAAATAATTTACTATCTTGACCTAACTTCTGTTTTTAGTTGTTATTAGGACCACTGCGTTTCATAGCACACGCACACTACGATTTTTAATCATAATAATACGGAAGCGTTGGTACAGTCATAAGTGGAAAAAACAGTTGCATGAGTAATTATTATTGTCCATAGAAGATGAAGATCCTGAATTCATGTGGTAGACGCTATTAAAACTGGTCGCTTGGTTATAAAACTTGAGTATCGTTCTTAAACAATAGAAAACACAGTGTAAAATGATTTTGCAGGCATGTATATATGTGAAGTTAACTATGAATAAAATTTTGGTTAAAGGAAAGTGGAAACTGAGCTGGCAAAAGTGAAACGAGCAACAAATCGATAGGAAGTGAGAAAGAGAATTCTCAGCTAACGATGTGTCCTCTTACTTGGCTTCAGTCTGCTGCATACTGGCTAGTGGGCTAGATATGTGTAACTGCTTTGGTTTGAATGCAAAGCAAGTTGTTTGGATGTTTGAAACGATTAACTTCAATTGGCTATTGGACAGATCTATATTAAGATAATCTTGTATATGTTGTGGTCGAAAAATTGTTCGAATTGTAAAAGTTTGGACTTTTGAATTCTCATTGGTTATTAATATCCTGTTTTTCTTAAATATTGGAAACAGTTTTCGGAGTAATTTTACTTTTTGTAAAAACCGATGTATTTTGATTTTTCTGTCGCTAAATAGCATTTTGTTATTGCACCAATCAGTGTTTTTTGTAAATCTGCAGAGGTTGTTGACTTCATTATTTATTTCTAGATGCTCGTCAGAAAGAGGGCATTAAATTTTCAATTCTAATCGCAGCTTGCTCATTTGAAGGTTCATACAATCCTCCTTTCATTTTTCTACAATTATCTGTTTGTGATTTGTTTTTGTTGAAATTCCAAACTACTATAGTTTCTTAGATCTACAAATGAAAATTTCCCTACTTTTAGAAATTATTTTCAGGTATTGGGACTTGTCCTTTCTTACCTAACGTTGTATTGGACTGAAAAGTGCAATGAGTAAAAATTTATTAAAGAATGAATTCGGTCCTGCACTAAAATCTTTGCAAATTTTAATACGCAGCCAGTTCAGTTATCACTTGCGCCATGTAGAACTCACGTAAATTTTTCTCACTTTGTAATATTTCATTGAGAAGTATTTTTAGTTAGTTTAAAAAAGTGTCATTAGTTTATTTAGCTTTTTGAATTTTCAGTTTCAAGTGGAAAGCCTATCACTTTTGTTGAATATTAATTAATTTTTGAAACCGTATCTTCTATATATTTGGAGATGTGGAAATCGGTTCCTGGACATATCTCGTGATTTGATCGAGCGTACGCAAATAGTTTTGGTTGGTATCAATGAACTTGCTAAAATTTCACGGAAAGGGATTTATCCTGGTTTGTATACATAGTTCATGATCATTAATGGTTAGAAGTAGGACTTATAATTATTGATGCAATAGTATCTGGACATGGTTTTAGGTATGGCGGGTTATACGGTCCCAAATGTTAACGGTGATCCTCCTTCATGCGTATCTCATCAAGAAGTAATATTTTATACAGAAACAGTGTAATTATTTTCTGGAGTTTCTAATACATGTATATTACTATTATTTTTAAGAATGTGAAAAGTTCGGGTACTTTTGATGGCGAATTGTGGCGTTCTAATCTCAACAAATCAGTAAAAGAAGTACAGACTTCGGAAAACCAACAAGGAAAATTCAACAATATTGAAGGGTAATGTGTATTTACTCTTAAAATTTTTTTGATATTTTCATATACTGCACAGAAACTTTGTTGTTTCACTGCAAAATTAATTTCACAATATCGATTCAGGAATAGCGACAGCAGTCTGTCATCAATTTCTCCAAAGCAAAATTATTATGAACCTCGTCTACCTAAGGTTCACGTTTTATCATATTCAGTTGATTTCGGAATCCGTATTTTTACTGCTCATGGCCTTATATTTATTTGTTTAGGGATACCAGATTAAGACAATGGAGGTCGCATCTATTAATGATAAAAATTGTGAGCGAAAAGTACCGAGCTCTCGTATAGCAAGGTTTGCTCAGTTCGGTCAGCTTGGAGTGAGTCTAGCTATGGGTGCTGCTACTGAAGTTGCTAAACGAGCATTAAGATTTGATAAAGTAAACATGTTAATGGTTGCAAATTAATATTATTTGACACGGAAATTGTAGTTAATTCGAGATTTCGCATTTTTTACTTTTAATGGTTGTAGGATCAAAGTTTGTCATCAGCTAATACCAGTATTGTTAGTGATGCCAAGAATCCATTTATGACTGAAGCAAATGCTGAAAAAATTGTCTATACTCTTTGTAAAGTGCGTGGCGCTGCGTTGAAATTGGGGCAGATGTTCAGCATTCAAGGTTCTCTATCTTTTCAGTTGATTTAAATTAAGTGTTTATAATTTCAGCTTAAGTAACTTGAACATGTCTAGAAAACGCAACGAATTTGAAAAAAATTAAAATAATTTATTCTTCAATACTTTTGTTTTTGCTAGTCTGGATAATTTGATCGATTTTACCATTACCTTAACATGATATAAATTTAGATCCGGATCTCATTTCACCAACACTGCTCAAAATATTTGAGCGTGTTCGTCACAGTGCTGATTTCATGCCAGTAAAACAAGTCCATCGTCAAATGCGTGAATCATTTGGTGAAGATTGGCGCGGAAACTTTCTATCATTTGATGACAAACCATTTGCTGCTGCATCCATTGGACAAGTAAATTAACTGTTTAAATTGATTTCAGTTCTAGTTTGCTCATTTTATCCATACATCTGTTAGCAAAAAAAAATTAGGTGGTTAGTAGTTGCAGGTCCATCGAGCTTTGTTATGTAATGGAGAGAAGGTTGCAATTAAAATCCAGTATCTCGGTGTTGCAGCGAGCATTGACTCTGATATCGATAATTTAATGACAATATTGAGTTATGGGAATTTTTTTCCCAAAGGTCTTTATCTCGAAAATTTTGCGAAGGCAATATTTTTAGATTTTTCATTACTTTTCCAACAAATTTGAAAATAGTGTTATTCTTTGAATTGAATAGATTTTATGTTCCTTCAGTTCAAGTTCATCGTATCACTGTCACACTTTTGTATCATTATTGTGTCTTTTATTTAGGTAGCAAGAAAGGAGTTGAAATTGGAATGTGATTATGAACGTGAAGCACGTGCGATGAATAAATTTCGCAATTTGTTAGCTGATAGTGAACATTTTTATGTTCCCAAAGTCAGTGAAAACTAAAGTTGATATGATTTTTGATTGTAAGCAATAGAATCTGCATATCATGTTTCTGTTCATGCAATTGTTATTGTCGCTTCATTGCTTTACATTTTGAGTGCAAGAAATTTTCAGGGTGTTGATTCGAAAACGCGGAATGTAAAAATTACGTTTTTATGTGCTCGTATAAGAGAGTTTGAATGGATCACGTGGAAGGGTCTCTAGTTTTATTATTTCTAGGTGTTTGGTAATTTAACTACAACACATGTGCTTACAACAGAATATGTGGAAGGCATTCCTGTTGACAAATGTGTGAATGAACCGCAAGAAATTCGAAATTACATTGCTTCGAAATTTATCGAACTTTGTCTTAATGAAATTTTTGTCTGGAGATTTATGCAGGTTATGGTTTTATTATTATAGCATTTAATATTACTGGAGATAGAAGGCACTATGGTTGCAGTTTCTTTGTTTTATTTTGTTTCACATAAAATAAAACGAAGATTTTAGTGTTACACAAATTTAGTTTCAGTAATTAGAGAACTTCGTATCTTGAAATTTACTAATTTACTTTTTGGCTCTTTGTTGGAAGATATTGTTAATTGTATTTAAATTAGCAATTTTTGTAATTGATGTTATTCAGACTGACCCAAACTGGTCCAACTTTTATCTTGGGGTGGATCCGACTGGCAGCCCAAAGCTAATTCTTCTGGACTTTGGGAACTGTCGTTCGTATTCCAAGAACTTTATTAATCTTTATATGAATGTCATTCGTGCAGCATATGATGACGATAAAGATAAAGTAATCATATTCTTGTACTATTTCCGAATTTGATATTTTAGATTTATTGTATTGCAATCTTAGTTTGTTTTTAATTTTTTTCTGGCTTTTTCATCTCATGTTCATATTTACAATGCTGGAGCTTTTTAAGTGAGCACTATTTTGTTTACAGATTTTGGAATATTCAAGAAAAATTGGTTTTTTATCAGGATACGAATCAAAGGTAGTTTTTTCTCGCATCACTGTTGTATTTTTTGTAATAGCATATACTAGAGAAAATTTTTTTCAGATAATGGAAGAAGCCCATTGTAAATCTATCTCCATACTTGGTGAAATGTTAGCATCTGCAGCTCCATACGATTTCTCAAAACAGGTTAAAAACTTTGAAGCACCTCTTTTTCTGTCGTGTATCTTTGTGCAACTAGTATATATATAGAAATTTCTGAACGAAGGAGATGAGTGTTGTATTTTTAAATTAATTGAAAGCAGTAATTTTTCATCACAAACTTTTCGAACTCTAGCAAGTGACGAGAAGAATCCACGATTTGATACCGGTAATGCTGAAGCATCGTTTAGTGTCACCACCGGAAGAAATATATTCACTACACCGGAAACTTTCTGGATCCTTCTTGTTAGCATCCAAATTAAAGGCTGTTGTTGCTTGTGGCGCGATGTACGAGCGCATTTACAATCATTACAAATTTGATGAAGCTGCAGATGAGAGTGCTGATAGTTTTCATGACGTGGATTAGCATGTTGAGGAAACTTTTTGAAACTTACGTGTTTCACATTATGTTTTGACGAAATTGTGGTCGTTTACTTGATGTAAAATATGTCATAATGACCAAAGCTTTAGCTTTTTCAAATTGACGCCAATTTTTTTAATAAATGCTTTAAATATATCTCAAATAGACTAAAAGGTTGTCTGAATCAGTGGTCAGTTAGGCATTTTTTTCATTTAAGGCGACCTTAAGATTGATAATTTTGTGTTAATGAAAATATTGCTGAGAAAACTGTTTAGTGATGGAGCTCTTTATTTAGTAGTGATTTTCATTACGTGAACATGGTATAAATAATGATAAAGAAACCTTCATTAAAACAAAGTATCGTTTTCTTTTACAGTAAAACTATGCTGCAATTACCAATATTGTCCTCACAATTATAATTAAATGTTAACCATGTCTTTCATTTTTTTATTCATTTGAAGTTGTTCATTTTACTTATATTGTAATTGTCTATCGTAATTTGCTTTATTGAGTTTAATTACTGTTCTATATGTGTTCACTTTCGTTACTTTACATTTTATTTTCTAACTTGATAGAGTTGAGTACGAATTTAAATATAATTGTGTGATATTCAGTACTACGTTGTTACTAAATTGATAAGGTATTATTCTTGAGTGTAAGATATAATTTCTTTGGATAATTATGGAATGTTTTTAGTACATCAGTTTGTTGACTGTTAGTAGGTTAGATCCAGCTTATTTCTTATTAGATTTGCTTTTGTTGGCTCGTTTGCTCATCTTTCTCATCACTTAAACGTTTTTTTTTCATCTTCTAGCAATACTAATGCACAGGTTATGCTTGAATAATGGATGATTAAAAAATCGTAGTGAAGCACGCGAATAAGCATCTTTATCTCATGCTTATTATATATTTTGTTGAAATGTTACAGCCGTAGAAACAGATAAGAATTGGATTAAATCTTAGAGTCTCTGCAAGCAAATTACAGGAAGCGTAATCTGGTATTCTCTGACTTAAGATACCATGGTTCAATCTTTATTCTCAGCGATGGTTTCTCCCTGTGCATGCTGAATGTTTTTCTAATTTTTTGAAGTTCCTAGATTGGTGAGTTATCAGTGTGAGCTAAGTTTTCTGAAATTACCATTTTGGTCGGTAGAACCATACTGGTGGTTTATTATTTTTGACTCTAAAGAATCCATTAATATCTTTGGTACCTTATAGTACTTGGATTTGCGGTAGCCTTGTTTTCCACAGTTCAGTTGCAGTCATATTCCAATCAACTATTATTAGAAAGCAGAGTTTCTTTAGACTGGCATATTTCACTGATTTCATGCAGCTTCTATTAATAATTGCGAAAACGGAGTACATACAGGGAAGTAAATAGTTAGGATCTTATGGACATTTCAAGAGATAGAAGTGCTTCCAACTAATAGCAAATGTAGATTACGTCCCCACAGAACGTGATAAATTGGTTGGTCTGAATTTTTATCCTTTGATATTGTGTAAAAACGTGAGAAGAAAGGAAGAAGCAATGTTGAACAGAAGCTTGAGAACCTTTTACAAAGCTTGTTTATTCAACTGTAACTAATTTAAGTGGTGAACGGACGTCACTGTGGATAATTACATCTTTTTTTAATATGAAAGTTGTTCACTGTATGTGAGTTGTTTAATTTAAATTTAAATTTTCAGCAAATAAAGCTTTTTGTTATTTTACAAGACTTCGTACTGTTTATGCTTTTTAATAGTTGTAATTCATTCATAAATGTTCGCTACCAAATCTGTGTTTCCTGACTTCTTGCATTTTAATGATTCATTATAATATCACTCAAGTGCTGATGTGAAATAATTATCTATAAGTGACAAAAAACTGGGACAGAGGCGCCTTATAGTGAAAATTTCCTAAATTGAATTCTATTTGAAACATTTGACAAATGGATAAAGTGACGAAAAGGCGCAAATTGGTTGCTATACTCAATAATATTGTTGATGAGTTACTGCGCTCGAATTACTTACATCAAGATGAAAAATAAAGATGAAAGATGCTGACAGGGACAATGAAATTTGGTGAGCATTTATACCTTTCGATTCCTTCAAAAAAAAGAATCGAAAACCTGTTATGAGGCGAGTATTTGAAAAGAATAAACTATTAAGGCATTCCGAAATTCACCAAAATATACATCAAGTAAAGTTGTTGGAATAAGAAAGGGAAGAATGTGATCATGGTTGTCACTTACTATTGAATTTTTATTGAACCAGTATGCATCTATTTTTATGAAGCTATCACAGTTTGTAATTATCTTCAGTGCCACTTTTATTAAAATTGAGTTTGCATTTCCGTCTATCTGCTTTGTTATTTATTTTACAATCAATCACTCAAACATTTTCAGAACTGTCGCAAGATAATAGTTATATATAAGTTTATGTTCTTAATGCTATTTAATTTTTGTTTCTAAACTGAAATAAATTTTGAAAGAAATACTTTTTACTCTCCATTATTTAATCGTTTTATTTTTACTTTCCTTACTTTAAAATTATAAATTCGTTATTTTTGCCAGTGTTCTCATAACTGATTGCTTCCGCATGCTTAATGCTTGAAAATAAAGAATAAAAATCACTATTTTTATCAGACCAAGTTAAATATGCAGTCTAATAAAAACTGATGATATGGTTTTCTTAAAAATAATTGTCTTCTGAAAATAAAGTTAAAATTCTTACTGATTAAATTAAATTTAAATTTCTTCATTTTCAGATGTCTTTACCTTTTTGTTTATTTTTCCTAATTTCTCACACAAAAAACACGGTTGCAATCAAAATCCATCAATTTCACACTTTTTGTCTCAAACTGGTGCCTCTGATATTTTATTATGTTTGACAAAATCTTAGTTTTTCAATATCCTTCATGTTTTTTTGATCTCTCGAAAGCTATAAATTGGAAACAAATTTTTGAGATGATGTTTGGTTCGTAAATTCATGTTTTTCCAACGGATTTAAAAAAAATTTTTCTTTCGTAAAGTGAAAAGAAATGAACAGAAAAATTCCCTGCTTAATATAGTTTTTATTCCAAATAGGAAGAAACTTAAATGAGCATATTTATTTAAAACAACGTAAAAAATTTTGTTCCGTGAAGTTTATTTTCTTGAGTAGCAACGTAATAATTTCTGACTTCTAGTCTGCCTTTTACTTTTGATAAATCCTCAAATGTGTTATTCAACTAAAAAACGAAGAACTGATTCATTTTTGGTTTTTGTGAATATAATTCGTTTGGATTTTTGAATGAGGAGAATAATGATGATAATCAAAATGATGAAACTTATCACATCCTGCATTATAACATTCTCGCAGGTTTTCAAGTAGATACGCCATTTTTATTCATGATAAAAGCAAAAGGATATTATCGAAATAAGAGCAGAAATAACAAACATAATAAAAAGAAAGTTTATACTTACAAGGAACGAGAAGTTTATATTTTTATAAATAT